GGCCCCTGCTTTGCAATGCCACTGGTCAGTTTGTAGGCCTGACGGTTGTACCCCAAGGAAGCAAGGGCAATCCCTTGCAACCGCATTCTTGTGTGGGACATTGTACATGGTAGACATGTAATTCTATCTATTGACCAATAGATTAGAACACCACCCATCCCTCACAGTCAAGTTAAATCTCTGCATTCTTTTTGATGTAACAGCGCTCGCCCAGAATTGCAACCGTGACCATATTGTTTAAAAGCCTTCGAGAGTGACAAAAGGCCTTTGAATCACCAGAACAAAACAGACTGGTAAAATGTAACATCTGGTGAGTGAGATCGAGATTGACTGTGAGTAACTTGGTGACTTAGAGTGAACTAAGTGCTGCCACCTATGTACTTTGTGTGAATTTATACACAGGCACCTGTATGGTGTAATACATTATCCGCCGCCGTCACTCAAAAGTCCAGAGCACATAGCCAGCTGCCCTCACTGCACTATGTGATGTCACTGCCTGTCCCAAACCCTTACCTCGCACACCAGTGCAATTTTGGGCGTCTGTGTCTTTTACCTGCAAGTGTGTGTACATAAGATACCACTTGCGGACATTGTAGAAACACAGCACGCCTCCTGCGAGTACCCCGGCGACCAGCTGTCAGGGAGCCGGTCGGCCGAGTGGACAGCACGCTGGACTTGTGATCCTGTGGTCCCACGTTCGATCCCGGGCGCCGGCGAGAAACAATGGGCAGAGTTTCTTTCATCCTATGCCCCTGTTACCTAGCAGTGAAATAGGTACCTGGGTGTTAGTCAGCTGTCACGGGCTGCTTCCTGGGGGTGGAGGCCTGGTCGAGGACCGGGCCGCGGGGACACTAAGGCCCCGAAATCATCTCAAGATAACCCCTCCATGTCAAATATGGTCGTGTTGAGAAAGCCTGTCATCCAGTGCTCTCACGGCATAACGAGCGAGACTGGCTGTCAGGTGACCTACGACGATGCTTGCATGAATGACTGAGTGAATGGTCAGGGCTAGCCAACCAGTAAGTACAAGATCTTGCTTTCTTATTAACAAGATGACATCAACAGCTGCTTCAGCTTAAAATCTAAAAATATTTGGGGTAACCACAACGACACTGCACTGCACACAATGTTATCGGAGGAAAACTTTCTCATAAAGTGGCAACTGCCTAATAAGCCATGCCCCGAGAAGAAGGGCTCAGCCAAAACAAGATACCCAATGACGGCATATATTGCAGCCTGCACGGTGGAAACAGCTGTCCACCCAACAGTGGCATCACAGAGGCAGAAAGTGTGAAAATATCTTCAGTTTGAAACAATGTGAAAACAGTGTACAATGATCATTAGTGTGAAACAAGTTATATCTATCAAAATCACACCAAGCAAGAATAAGCTCGGCAAGCCAGCCCACATCCAAACCATACCTGTTCCAGATGGTGAAAACTGATTCAGGACACTAGGTGTTGGGGCTAATTGCCAGCAGAAACTGAATGCAGCTACAGGGGCAAAGGCAGGTGGGAAGGGCATAAGCAACACAAAGCAGAGTAAGCACACAAATCAGCATACACCCACAGGAAAGTAAACCCTAAAACTCATGCAGCCACGGGAAACATTCACTCAAAGTTAAAAAAAAAAAAACAGGTGAGGTATATAAACACGTGCACATGAAGCTTTACACTAAACTCAGAACAAACAAGCAAATGGTCAATACTTATCGGAAAATCAAAACCCAAAAGGACACATGCAAACAAGATTACATCACATAATTGACTAGTGGGTTACCCAAGTTGGACCAGGCGCTCCAGGTTCTGCCCCTGGCAGTGAGCACGTGTATCTAGCGGGTGAATGATCTCGCTACTATTTTTCAGAGTTGTTCATATTTACTTTGTTGTTGTCTGTTATGTTTCAATTTACCTTTCTTGTGGTTTATACGTTCACTTTGGGAGATGTAGCATCCTCCCCTGCTCTATGGTCTCTATGAGTGAACAAAGGTTTTGGTCTGTGGTCTGGTAGGCTTTGACTTACATGGACCTGGTGTGATATGATGTCAATGGAGCTATCCAAGTGGTTAGCAACAGGAAGCCACTGAGGGACCCCTCCCAGAAAATGCACATATAACTGCATTTAAGACCAAGTTCAGAATGAGCCATAAATCAACATACAAATTTCTTCAGCACTTGTATATGTTAAGAGGCTAATAACAACCAAAGAAATGGTTAAACTCAAAATGGAATAATGCAAAGGTTCACTTCATGCCAAGTACCTGGGAAGAGTATCTGCATAAAATGGATCCCGTAAATGCCTGCACCAGGAAACAGTTCAACCACAAAAGTAAAATGCTGATGTCAGTCATGAGTAATGGGGGACTACATTTGTTAAAACTCCCAAGACATATTATAACAAATAATAGCAATAATAATACACAATATAATTTCCATTCTTCTTCCAAAGTCAATCTACTTACTGCTTAATAAACTCAATATTGAAAGATGGTCAATCAAATTTTGTAATAATAAAAAAAATGAAATGCCATTTTTTTAAGATCCATCAGAGGCTCTATTGAGCTTATGCACTAGTGCCCCAAGGACAATACCATCTCACGAGGAGAGCTGTGCAGACAGCAGCGCGACGACAGGTGACATCATACTAGTTTGCTCGTTTTTGTTTGGGGGAGTTCTATCCACTCGTTCGGCTTTTGGCTGCAATTTTCACCAGAATAGGGGTTTGTTTTGGGATGCCTACCTTTCTGGGTGCCTAACCTGGTCGATGGCAGACATAGAATGTTTCCAATCACATGGGGGTTTCTATAGGCCATTGCTCCCCCTTGCCTCTCTAAAGGGGGCCAGGTTCTGACTCGTGGTCCTCGGTAGGCCCATAAGAACTCCATACACATGATTGATGCCAAAGTTTGACATTAGCATATCAGCCTAGTAAGCTCCGGGAGCCTCCAGGACTCACCCAGAAAATGACGCTTCATTACATTCAACGCTGTTTTTTTTTTTTTGCCAGACTTCCCCGCCCTATTGTATCCAAAATATGCCACCTACGATTCCCCCCCCCCCCCCATGATCAGGGAACACAAATGGACACTTTTATAAGACAAAATAGTTTTTATATTTTTTTTTATTTCCTGTGCCTGGGCATGTTGCAGGCTATAATTGCAAAAGCAGCCCAGGGGTTAAAGTAACATACAATGTACTGTTAGAAAGGAAGTGGGGAGGCATTCTACTGATTTTTATTTTTGTCCATTAGTATAAATTTACATCCCCCTCCTCATACTATCAGTTAAGGACATGCAAGATGGGGGAGCATAAATACAGTCGTAAAGTGAAAGGGAAAGAAAGAAAAGTAAGAGGCAGAGTAAGTAAGTCACTCATCTAAGTGAGAGATGTCACTTAGCTGAAAATAACAATAATGGTGCTCACAAAGATAGGTGTCCATGGCTTGGTACCAAGCACACTAATGAGTTGGGTTGGTAGGTGGAAACTTGCCATGACCTAAGCTGCAATCTGGCAGTGCACTAGATTGTTGATATCAGGTTAATTACCACTTTCCTGATATCCATCTTCCTTTCATAAAGATATGTAGTTTGTTTTGCTTTGCATATGCTCTCTGGGCTGTTTTACTAGGTTATGAGGTTGATGAGAGAGCCTCATACCCATCTCACCTTTATGGAAACACCAGACTATGGTCCGGGTCTTTTAAAGTTTTATGTAGTTCCAGAGGCCTGTATGTTTTGTGGTGAGCTACATTAGGCCATTCCAGAAAACCATGAAAAATGCAATGTTTCTAGCAAATAAGCTTATGAAGAGCATCAGAAAGCATGAAATCCAACATTGGACTGTGAACTAACAGAGAAACCGGTCCTTGATCAAAATGACTGCCAGAGAAGACATTAGGTTGGACAGTGTGGCGACACCCGGCTCACATGTTTGAGGCTGGCTGCCACTTGACCATGGTTGGACAGTGTGGCAACACCAGGCTCACATGTTTGAGGCTGGCTGCCACTTGACCATGGTTGGACAGTGTGGCGACACCCGGCTCACATGTTTGAGGCTGGCTGCCACTTGACCATGGTTGGACAGTGTGGCGACACCAGGCTCACATGTTTGAGGCTGGCTGCCACTTGACCATGGTTGGACAGTGTGGCGACACCCGGCTCACATGTTTGAGGCTGGCTGCCACTTGACCATGGTTGGACAGTGTGGCGACACCAGGCTCACATGTTTGAGGCTGGCTGCCACTTGACCATGGTTGGACAGTGTGGCGACACCAGGCTCACATGTTTGAGGCTGGCTGCCACTTGACCATGGTTGGACAGTGTGGCGACACCAGGCTCACATGTTTGAGGCTGGCTGCCACTTGACCATGGTTGGACAGTGTGGCGACACCAGGCTCACATGTTTGAGGCTGGCTGCCACTTGACCATGGTTCACTACCAATTTCAAATGGTAGTGGGAAGGCGAAAGGGAAGGTGCAATGTGGCATTTTAGTTATTTGACATAGTTTTGAGCTTTGGTACTTGTTTGAACCAAACATTTCTCCAAGTTTGAGTTTTTGTAATCCTTTTTTCCTCTCAGCAAGTGGTGCATTATGAAATCCACCTTTGGTCAGGAAGCAGGACTGCAGTGTGTGCTCCCAATATGCCACGAGACACTGTTACACACTTAGTGAAATGGTATTGGCCCCTGGGCCACTAAAAGGGGCCACCTCAGAAACACATACTACTACTACTTTTTAAATGTTTTTACTATCAGGCAGAGGCTACAACAATACCCTCATTACAATGTGGCAAATATTACATTTTCACACACAGTACATGAATTAAAAGTAAAGGCAATATTTTGGTAATTTACACAAGTTAGAAATAAAGAGAATTTGAGAGAAAAATCAGAACTTATGGGGCCTACCCAGAGATGATACAAGTTTATCTTTACTGAAAAGTCAACTAGTTGCAACAACTGCATAATAGTTAAGTCAATAAATTATACACAAAGACCTACCTGTCAGAGCCTAGTAACCTGAAAAGCCGTGAATTGTCAATTATCTCTTGAGTTATTTCACCATTCTTGAAGCTTCTGCCTTGCATCCCATGTTCATGAAATGCTAGTACACTGTCTGTTAAGCACACTGAAACAAATGGTTCAAATTAACTCTACTTCTAATACTCATCATCATCCTAATTTTGTGACAAACTGAGCAAAAATACGTCTCACTGCTCTTAACGATAAGCATCACTTTGTCTTTACAATACATTATGTTTCAAATTGTTAGCTAAATCTTACTCACTTCATGCCTAAATTGTAATGTTAAGACCAGCCAGTATTGAAATGATCTCTATAAGCTGCTACAGATTTATTATTTGATACTGGGAATGACAATGTCTATATGCTATGCTGTTAATGTCACTCTTATGTAATTAATGTACAGTATTAAATTTTTATGTAAACTTTCCCAATTATAGATGTACTATCATTTATGAATAAAATCTTTGATTTGATTTTATCAAATTTTAAACTTGAGTTACACACTGAATACAGTACAGTACTTCATATTCATGTAAACTTGTGTTACATGTTGAACACTTCACATTCGCATAAACAGCAAAAATAAAAAGTTCCTATTAAATGTAGAAACTTACCTATTGAGTCAATTGTAAAATCAAACTGAAGTTCTGAAGTTTGCTTTTTGCGTTCTTTAATTTTTCCCTGCAAATTGACTACCCTTACCACGTCTGCAAAGAGAACAAGCATATTTATAATTCTAAAAATAGTTCTGGATAATTTGTCTTCTTCAGTAAAACTTGGTAAGATAAATTTATTACTAATTTGGGTCTTTTAATGCAAATGTTGTACACATACATACGAGTGCATTCAGGGCCGTCTTAACATCATGTGTGCCCCTGGGCAAACCAGTGTGCTGGGACCCATATGATAACTACTCACAGGAATAAAAAGTAGATGATTGATAATATTAAAAATATATTTATTTTATTGGCACTTCAACAAAACTGGTGTTAAAACATTAAAAACTTGCTGTAAAGCAGCAACTAATCAACATGATTAACATTTGAACGATACACAAGGCTTGGAAAACACAATAATACTCAGTAAGCTATACAGATTAGATGGCACAGGATGAAATTACTATTCACTTATTTTAAAAAGCATTTGTGGCATTTCTTTCCTGAGAATTGTTTTATTATTGGCTTGAAGTCAATGGTCTTCAGGATGTCATTTTCCTTGCACATGAGTGGAAGCCAGTTCAAACAATGCTGCCCCATTGTGCTACGAAGCAGATTTTTATACGTTTCTGTCTTGAAAAAGAACATTCTCCTGTACAGTTAGTCACCATTATGTACATGAACACTGAGTGTAATTTCAACATCCGGGAATACAGATTTCAAACTGCCCAAAATTATTTTTCTGTACAGAGCAGGGAGAGTTTCACAATTTTCATCAAGTCATATAGTGCTTGAGATGGTCACATTCATTTAAAAGGCCATCATAATTCAGGTCTTTGTGATGCATATTAGCCAGAAGTTTACACTTGTTCATTAGTGCATCAGAAGCAATGGTTTTCAATTCACTGAAGAAAGAAAACAGATTTTTAATCTGTGAATAAGCCTCAGCACATTTTGTCAGTTCAAAGATTAGTGTCCAGAATAGGGAGGAAAGTTTCCACATTGAATTTTTCAGTTTTAATGAGAAGTACCTCTTCTGCTGCTCCATCATATCTACTAAGATGCACAACTCGTTTTCGTTCCCATTTTTCCCATCATTTTAATTTCCATTCAGTTTGATATGTTCTTCCAAGAAAGGGTCAAACTCACTCAGCAGCTCAAGTATACCTAAATAGTTGCCATTTTTTGCTGACCCAATAATCTGATTTTCTCCACGAAATGGCAAACCTCTAGAGGCAAGAAAGCGAATTACAGAACCCACACATGTCAACACTTCATGCCAATATTCATGCTCTGAGCAATGTTGCTCAAGTAATAAAGAATCTACACTTTGTTTCTTTATGTCTTATCAAATATGCTGTCATACACTTTTGATGTTCTCCATTTTCACATTGTACAAAAACATTGCTGTATTTCCAATCATTGAACCCCAATGTAGCAAAGGGGGATTCTATCTTGGACAATAGGAAGCATACAAAGCAGTACAAACAACCTTGGGATGGTGAATAGAGTAGCCATTCATGTTTTACATACTAGCCATTCCGCAGTTCACGTTTGGACACATTGTTTGATAAATACCTTACTTCATATTCTCTACTCCAGCTGTTTTATACACTCTGCATGAGTTTGAAAGGTTGCTATCATGATTTTGACATGATGAAACAAACAATGGTAGGCAGAGAGAATAAATTAAATGAGAAACCCAGTGTTGAATGTAATGAAGCTCCTCTTTTTGGATGAGCACCGGATGCTCCCTGAAGCCATCTCACTTCATTGATTCATTTTACTTTTTTGAATAACACTCGGGGTTCTGTTTGTTAGGAAGTTAAAGATCCATCTCTCTACTTTGCCAGTAAATCCCTCTTCTGCGCATTTTGTGTTCAATAACACCGTGGTTACCTTTGTCGAATGATTTTGTGAAATCTATGCATATTTTTCATTAAATTCATTTTTTACATCCTACCATATCCCCTTCACTTCAGTACAGTATGTTGTAATTTATTGTGCAGATTTGGTACTAAAATTAAAATTTCCTATAATACAAAACATTGCTGGACGTTGATTGTTTAAATATTTCTGCCCAGATATGCCTTCCTTCTAATCTAGTTAAGTTTAGTTGCCTATATATAACTCCTGGATTGTACCTGGATGGGGTTTTGGGAGTTGTTCTACTCCTCAAGCCCAGCCCAGGGCCAGGCTTGACTTGTGAGAGCTTGGTCCAACAGGTTGTTGCTTGGAGCGGCCCGCAGGCCACTTATCCGTCACAATTCGGTTGGTCCGGCACTTCTAAAAAAAAACTACTGTATCTAGTTTTCTCTTGAAGATGTCGACGTTTGTTCCAGCAATATTTCATATGCTCACTGGGAGGATGTTGAACCTCTGATGTTTATACAGTGTTCTCTGATTATGCCTATGGCACCCCTGGTCTTCACTGGCTTTATTCTGTATTTTCTTCCATATAGTTCCCTTCACTCCTATTATCAAGCTATTATTATTTAAATTCAATTCAAATACTTTGTGTGGGGCTGATTTTGTAAGACCCTAAATTTTACCCTTCTCAGGAAAGTTACATAGAAACCTCATAACACTATACTGCACATGAAAAATTACAAAATGTATTATTACTATAGATATATAAAGACAGTAAACAAAAAAAAAACTTACTTTCATAACAGACTAGAATTGCATCTTTTTCAATTTGAGTAACATTTTTTACATTAAGATTATGCCTAGGAACAACAGTTGCCATTCCATCCATATCATCATCATCATCTGGAGTCCAAGTAGTTCCCGTGTTGAGGTTGATAAGGCTGTGGCGAAGGACATCTTCTGCCCCATAGCTCCGGTTTACGTCCACACACATGAGCGGGTATTCTAAGTCGGGTGTGATTATCATCTCAAATACTCTAAGGGGATGGGGTAAGTAGCACTCGCTTTGCTGGAAAAAAAGAAAAAAAAAAAGATATTTATTCACTGTATTGAATTACATAAATAACTGAATAGGTTTTGTATGTAGCCAATGAAAAGAGGCATCACTGGTCACAAAACATATACAGTACAAACAATATTATATGAACTATATTCTTAAACTTCCAATGCAGCACTTCCATTGCACTTCCAAACTTTCCTTGGGTCTATATTGGAAGAAACTAAATCCATTGTTTAATGTGATGAAATGCCTACTTCTGGTAGGCCATGTAGTTGGTCCTTGATGCAATAACTTGCATATGACCAAGCCTTTGAGAACACAATCAACCTCTAAGCCTTGGAGTGACTACGAGGACCAGGACCAGAATGTGGCATGCTCACAGAGGCAAAGAAAACCTGGAGATCGGAGATTGCCATAAAAAACAAGAAAAAACAACCAGAAGACTAGTGTTCCATAACAAGCAATTACAGTGGCACCTTGACTTACGAGTGCCCCAACTCACGATAATTTTGAGTTACGATGTAAATTTGATCGAAAAATGTGACTCAACATACGATGGTGTTGTCGACTAACGATATTTGTTGGTACACGTTCGAGTCGACCGAGCGTGTGTTTCTCGGTCACGCGGGCCGACCTGTCTCGGTTTACTACAGCTGGCCGCTTAGTGACGATCACGCCTATAAGAAATTCCGTTTTTGTGGCGATTTTTTGCTTTTTGAACATAAAAGTAATTATTATATATCACGCCATGGGTCCCAAGAAAGTCAGTGGTAAGGTTCAAGATATGAAAACCCATGTAAGGATGACCATAGAGCAAAAACAAGAGATCATTCATAAATATGAAGATGGTATGCGGGCTGTTGAACTAGATAGGCAGTACAACAAATCTCAGTCAATGACATCCACCATACTGGTTAAGAAAAAGAACATTATGAGTGCTAAAGTGGCAAAAGGCGTATCAATAATCACGAAACATAGAACACAAACACTTGAGGATGTTGAACAGTTATTATTAATTTGGATACACAGCAAGGAGTTAGTGGGTGATGGAGTTTCAGAGGCCATCATTTGTGAAAAAGCAAGGAAACTGCATGAAAACCTTTTAAAGAAAACACCTGGAACAAGTGATGCAAATGCAAAAAGAGTTTAAGGCGAGCAGGGGATAGTTTGAGAAAGTTAGAAAAAGAAGTGGCATTCATAGTGTTGTGAGTGTTGTATGTTGCGAGCTGGTGGAGGAACACAGCGAAGAACTGACCACCGAAGAACTTCACAAGGAGCAACAACAAGAGACAGCTGAGGAAATTTCTTTAGGGGAGGAGGAGGAGACAGTACAGAATGTCCCTTCCTCATTAATTAAGAAAATGTGTGCAGCATGGGAAGAATTGCAAACTTTTGCTGACACGACTCGCCCAAATCACGGTGCAGTAGGCCGTTGCCTTAACCTTTTTAATGACACTGTGATGCCTCACTACAGACAAAAATTAAAACATATGGAAAAACAAAAATCTCTGGAAAGGTTTTTAGTGAGACAAACAAGCAGTGAATCACAACCAGGTCCTAGTGGTATGCAGGCAAAACGTAACAGAGAGTGTATCCCAGAGAAGTCATCACTGCTTGATGTTATTATGGAAGGGGACTCCCCTTCCAAACAGTAACACCTCTCCTCCTCCCCCCTCCTCACCATCTTCCATATGCATCATGAGTCCTCCATAAAGGTAAGATAAACATATGTACTTATGTACTGTATTGTAGTTAGAAAAAACATTGTATTCAGTATAAAATGTATTTGTAAGTTAATATTTTGGAGGGTGGGAAACGGATTAATTCAATTCCCTTTATTTCTTATGGGAAAAATCGCTTCGACTTACGCTCCGTCTCTGGGAACGGATTACCGTCGTTTGTCGAGGTCCCACTGTATTTGGATGTCCAACCCCCCACCACAAACCTGAACTAATCCCCGAACTACAGATGGAAAGGGAAGCATTAAGAAGCATCCTAGAGGTCTAGGGAAAACACCCAGGTGCCCAGCCTAAGAGTGACAAGAACAGACAAAGTGAAAGCCTTGCCAGGCACAGTTAAAGTAGCCATCACAACTGCAAGAAAAATGACAGGTTGGATGACAAGAACCTTTCACACTAGAGATGCTATACCGATGATGATACTTTTCAAGACGCTAGTGCTCTCTAGAGTGGAGTACTGCTGCACAATGACAGCCCCTTTCAAAGCTGGAGAAATTGCTGACCTAGAGAGTGTGCAGAGATCTTTTACTGCTAGAATCCACTCGGTAAAACATCTAAACTACTGGGACCGACTAAAGAGCCTAAATCTGTATTCTCTTGAGCGCAGGCGGGAGAGATACATAATAATTTATACGTAGAAAATATTAGAGGGGCTGGTCCCAAACCTGCACACAGAAATAACATTTCATGAGACCAGGAAGCATGGCAGGATGTGCAGAATACCTCCATTAAAGAGCAGAGTTGCAATAGGTACTCTGAGAGAGAACTCTATCAACATCAGAGGCCTGAGACTGTTCAACACGCTTCCACTACACATAAGGGGCATAACTGGCCGACCCCTCACAGTGTTCAAGAGAGAACTGGATAAGCACCTCCAAAGGATACCTGATCAACCAGGCTGTGATTCATATGTTAGGCTGCGAGCAGCCGCGTCAAACAGCCTGGTTGACCAGTCTATACAACAAGGCCTGGTCGACGACAGGACCACGGGGACGCTAAGCCCCAAAAAACACTTCAAGCTAAGGTAACTTCAAGATAGGTATCAAAGTGACCACCAAGCAGCACTAGTTAATTATAGTAAGACACACTAGATTATTGCCTCAAACTGCCAAAAGGTGGCAGCAACACAACAAACTCCCCCAACTAAATCTCATCACATCCACTTTACCCAAGGGTTAAAAAAAAAAAAAAAAAAAAATTAAACACACAGGATGAGAAAGAGCAAGGGGACAAAAAAGGAGGGAACGGAAGCAACTGTGAGTGTTATGTTTGGATATAGGCCTGGAGCCAAGTACTATAACTGGTTAGGTTGTTGAGCACCATTTGCATTTGTAATATTTATTTGGGTTTCATGCGTGTTGCCTCCGTTGTTAGAGTGACCCAGGGAGCACCACGAGGAGGTAACGGTAGGACTTGCTCCCCAACAACTGAGTGTACTGCTCAGAAAAGTGTCTGCATATACACTCAAAACTTGACTTCTGAACTGTACCACTCAGTTGTTCCCTAAGGCAAGCATCAGCACAAGACACCGTACAAGCACACGAACAAGACACACCTGGGTGGTAGCGTGCTGAGAACAATCAATCAGGAAGAGGAGGCTGCAGTAAAAATTTGAATATGAGAGAGTGACGAACATAAAAGCATCAATATCAAACCAAGCACTAAATGAAGTTGCAGAAAGTTCAGGGGTATGCCAGTTCAGAGAATATGTGGCTCCAGCCTGGAGTCCACATCATGTCAAACACATAATGAAGTTAGAAAAGATTCAGCGGTATGCCACCAGGCATACCTCTGAGCTGAGAGGAATAAGCTACGAGGCAAGATTTCTGGAACTAAACCTCACAACACTGGAAGACAGAAGAGTTAAGGGAGACATGATCACTACCAATAAAATTCTCAATAGATAGATAATAATATAGATAGACAGGGTAGATAGATAAACTGTTTAGCACGGGTGGAACGTGAACAAGGGAACACAGGTGGAAAATAATTACCCAAATGAGCCATAGAGACATTAGAAAGAACCTTTTTAGTGTCAGAGTAGTTAACAGATGGAATGCATTAGGCAGTGAAATAGTGATTATCTTGAGATGATTTCGGAGCTTTAGTGTCCCCGCGGCCCGGTCTTCGGCCAGGACTTCACCCCCAAGGAAGCACCCCGTGACAGCTGACTAACTCCCAGGTATCTATTTACTGCTAGGTAACAGGGGCATCAGGGTGAAAGAAACTCTGCCCATTGTTTCTCGCTGGCGCCCGGGATCGAACCCAGGACCACAGGATCACGCGTCCAGTGTTCTGTCCGCTCAGCCGCGGAGGCGGACTCCATACACAGTTTCAAATATAGATATTGTAGAGCCCAGAAGGCTCAGGACTCTATACATCAGTTGATTGACAGTTGAGAGGTGGGACCAAAGAGCCAAAGCTCAAACCCTGCAAGCACAACTAGGTGAGTACAGTCAAGTCTCCAAACTACAAGCAAAGGCTACAGCAATTAAACCTCATGTTGCTATTAGACAAAATGTTAGGAAAGTCATAGCTATGAACAAAATTCTCATTGAAACTGAAAGGGCAGACAAAGTCAGACTATTTAGCATGAGTGGTATTCAAACAACTGAACACAGGTGAAAAATGAGCACCCGAATGAGCCACAGAAACATTAGAAATTATTTGTTCAGTGTGACAAAAGTGAAGAAATTGAAAATTCTAAGAATTGAAATGGTGGAAGCAGACTCCAAACACAGTTACAAATGTAGATATGATGAGCACAATAGATTCAGGAACCTGTTCACCAATCAACTGATGATTGAGAGGTGAGACCAAAACACTGAAGCTCAAGACCTGTGAGTAAAATTAGGCAAGTGCACTGGTGACATAGGAAGGTAATCATGCTTTCTTAGTGTGGGGGTGATAATAACAATCTATTGCTCCCTCTGGCTATGTGATGGGGGTCAGGTTCTAGCTCTGGTCCCCAGTTGGCATACAGGACTCTTATAGTTGGTGTGGCTCAATAGGGAAAACCAATCTCAATGAGTCAGCACAAGGTATTTATGAGATGAATGTTTGTACCTAAACAAACTACTGGAGAACACAGAAACCGGGTAAAACCTTTGGCTGACTCGGCTGATAAGTCGACAAAGTCACTAAGAAATAAGAGCCCTGGTACCTGCTTGGTGGTGTTCTGGGAGTTCTTTTACTCCCCAAGCCTGGCCTCAGACCAGGCTTAAATGGTACAGGATTACAAGAGACAAGGAGTTACAAATAAAATACCTAACAGAGTGAGACAAAAGGCAAGCGGATATCAATGTTCAGTAACCCCAGACAGAACACAAACACTTCAGGAATGAGGATTAACGGCATCTGCTTCATATAAAGGTGGTGAATCATGCTTTAGAAGCTCCAGACACAAACATGAGTGGAGAGCCTGAAGGAGTATAACACAGAGGGTTGATCCTCCATGTGAATACAAGTACATTAACAGAAAACTGGGTTATGACATTGAAAGCAAGACCTGGAGCATATGTTCAGAAGTGTGTAAGAACATAATAACAGAAATAGAAAGCAATTATCAAAAGAAGGCACCAAGCTGGGAAGACTATGCAGCATAATACACAATACACCCTTACAGGTGGAATGCGAACAAGGGGATACAGGTGGAAACTTAGTACCCAAATGAGCCACAGGGATGTTAGAAAGAACTTTTTCAGTGTCAAAGTAATTAACAGATGGAATGCATTAGGCAGTGATGTGGTGAAGGCAGACTTCATACACAGTTTCATATGTAGATATAATAAGAGACCAGTAGGCCCAGGAATCTGTACACCAGTTGAGAGGCGGGGCCAAAAAGCCAAAGCTTAACCCTCACAAGCACAACTAGGTGAGTACAATAACAAAGGAAACTGTTGAATGTCTATTGGCCTAAGTGAGGCAGCTTGTATCTATACTACACTAAACCGATTCATTTACTAGTCTAACCTTCGCCTGAAACACTCCAGTGATCCCATGTCTAGTATGTTACCAGTAAATTGTTTCATAAATCAACTATCCTGTGTTTACTCCAGGGCTTTCCAGAATCTAAACTTGTCCAATATGTATCCAATGTTTTGTATTTTATTTTGTGTTAGTTAACCACTTTTGTTATATGCTTTCATCCATTTGTTGTTGTTGTTGTTGTTGTTGATTTAGGGGCGACGACGACTGTGGTATCAGATACGCCCCGGTGTACCCGTGAAGGGTTAATCGTGAAGCCTGGAAAGGTGAAATGCCAAGCCTAATTGTGAAACGAGTGGCACCAATCAATGGAAACTAATATGCCTCACAGCAAAGAAACACAGTCAGGCAGATGATTGGGGAGCCCCAGGAGTCCCTCAGGGTGGCAGGCACTGGCCCCGCCCCTCTCAGGGAGATGGTGATGCTACTGTTGAAGGGACTTCTACAAAACAACCCTCTTTTGCAGAATTATTTAAAAAAAGCCCTGAAGCAAGTCTGCAGTTAGGGAAGTTGCCATAGAAGTGGCTTCTTCTCAGGAAGCAGCTAGATGTACTAGCCAGCTGATAGAGCGTAAAAGAGCAGTAGTAATGGTAGGCATTAGGGAGCAAACAGGGACCAGTCCAGTGGAAAGGAGAGACGAGGACAAAAATGAAGTTAACGAGATCCTCACAGGGGTAAACAACAGTTTACCCCTGTGTCCTGCCTCACAGGGTATATTGAATTCTACGACCAGGCAACAAAAATCAGGCAAGAAAGAGAGGGGTGGGTAGACTGCATATTTTTAGATTGCCAGAAAGCCTTTGATACAGTACCACACAAGAGGCTAGTGAAAAAGCTGGAGATGCAGGCTGGAGTGAAAGGGAAGGTACTCCATTGGATATGGGAGTACCTTAGCAACAGAAGACAACAAGTCACTGTGAGGAGTGAGGTCTCAGATTGGTGAGACATCATAAGTGGAGTCCCGCAGGGGTCAGTCCTTGGACCTATACTGTTCCTGATATATGTATATGATCTCCCAGAGGGTATAGACTTGTTTCTCTCAATGTCTGCTGATGATGCTAAAATTATGAGGATGATTGAAACAGAGGATGATTGTAGGAGGCTACAAGATGACCTAGACAGACTGAATGAATGGTCCAACAAATGGCTGCTAAAGTTCAACCCGAGTAAATGCAAAGTAATGAAACTAGGCGGTGGAAACCGGAGGCCAGACACAGGATACAGAATAAGAGATGAAGTACTTCATGAAACTGACAGAGAGAAAGATCTAGGAGTTGATATCACACCAAACCTGTCTCCTGAAGCCTACATAAAAAAAATTACGTCTGTGGCATATGCGAGGCTGGCTAACATCAGAACAACCTTCAGGAACCTGTGTAAGGAACCATTCAGAATCTTGTATACCACATATGTAAGACCAATCCTGTAGTATGTGGCCCCAGCATGGAACCTATATCTTGTCAAGCACAAGACGAACCTGGAAAAGTTCAGAGATATGCCACTAGACTAGTCCCAGAACTAAGAGGCATGAGTTACGAGGAAAGGCTGCGGGAAATGCATCTTACGACACTGGAAGACAGAAGAGTAAGGGGAGACGTGATCACTACCTACAAAATCCTCAGGGGAATTGACAGGGTAGACAAGGATAAACTATTCAACACTGATGGTACACGAACAAGGGGACAGAGGTGGAAACTGAGTACCCAAATGAGCCACAGGGACGTTAGAAAGAACTTTTTCAGTGTCAGAGTAGTTAACAGGTGGAATGCATTGACCAGTGATGTGGTGTAAGCTGACTCCATACACAGTTTTAAATGTAGATATGATAGAGCCCAGTAAGCTCAGGAATCTGTACACCAATTAATTCACGGTTGAGAGGTGGGACCAAAGAGCCAAAGCTCAACCCCCGCAAGCATAAATAGGCGAGTACAAATAGCCGAGTACGCAGAGAACACTGGGGTATCAAAACCAAAAACTCGGCACCTAACTAAAACGCTAAGTCATCCGGTGCTCTCCAGCAGAGCAGAAACCAGCCACCCACCACAACTGAGGGTACACCAGGAGCCCACCAAGACCCACCAACTCCCGGCACCTTTCAGCCAAGCCAGTGCCGAACACCGTCACCCCGCTGAGAGGACTAGCCAGAACACGTCAATAAAAAAAAATCTACCAACAATCCCATGACCCAAGGCGATATGTGTGCCAGGCATCATACAACCGGAACGTCGAATAAGGATGCCAAACAGCAGTATCAAATCCAAATCACAAAATAAAACGTGATCCAACACACAGGTGAAGAAGTGGCCGGATTTTTTTTTTTATTTTTTTTTTTACATGGCACTCATATGCACAACATAGAATAAAGCATAGAAGTGGTAAATGCAGTGGAAGACTTAAGAGGTGAAAACTACCACTGGTGAAATACTGGTGAACCAGTATTGAAAGAACTTGATAGTTAATTAAATTGTGCAGAGAACAAATGTCAATATCCTGGAATAATCTGCAGCCAATACCAATCAGAAGAGAATATGATGGGCCTTTTGTTTTGGTGTTAGTGATGTTACCTGGTTGCAATCTGGGAAGGCACTGCTTGGAGGTCTCTTTGATAGCAAGTTCTGTTTGGAAAGGGCTTCATATTTTATGTAAATGCATTTTGCTTATATTCTGGACTGGGCTGCATATTCTCCAGTGTTTCACTAGCTCCAATATGACCAAGTGAGAAAAGTTTACAAAAATTCCTCACTATGCCTTATGGGTTTCAACCTGTCTTAACTGTCAGATCCTAACCAGGTGCTAGTAGGATCTTGCTTGTAGGCAGCAACCAAGTGGGATAACTTAGAAAGAACCTTTTATGGTCATAATAATAAAGATATTAAATAGAGAATTCCAAGAAAAAAAAAACAGGGCAAAACATATGATCTTCCCACAAAAAATGTTGCTGATAAATAAAACGAATTAAGTCTGAATTCAAAGAACTGGAAACCGAGAATCATCTGCCAAATTCTTTGGCAAATAAAATGCACCAACAGAAGGAACTCATTCTTGAACTAACCTTAAGGAGCATAAACTTATTGAGTGGATCATACCACTGCATCAGGTACAAAGAGGAGTTGGTGGCACCACACAGGTACTTGTAGCCATTGTATGGGTTGCGTCCTACACAACAACGTAGTGTGCCTTTTGTATCAGGAACCTGAAAACAAAACCAATTATACAATCTTGTTATGATCAATTAATGCACTGGATTCTCCTAAAATCACACAATTATAGATAAATAAAACTCAAGCATAAGGCATGTCATTATTCTCAAATATAAGCTATGTTGTAAGTCAAGTGTAAGTATCTTTAGTGAATCGTGCACAATTACATTCAGATTTTGCTTCCTAGCATGCTTCTATTTCCAAACCTATAAACACAATACAAATAACTCTTGCTTTTTAGATTGAATGGTTCCTGAAGCCTTACAAAAACAGCTCTTTTAGAGGTTAAGAGGTGGAACCATTTCTATAGGACACAAGCCACATCTAGCGTGATCAATGGGAAACAGCAGCTACCAGTAACATCCAGATCTTTATCCCTATTCTTAACATAGAATTTTTAAAACAAAATGCAACCACAAAAAGCTAGCTTCTGGTTCTTCCCCACAGCTTGCTCGAGTTCCAAAACAGCCGAGAGTTTCAGAGTCTGGGATAGGTTTAACCCCTGTACTCTGCATTCAATTTACATGACAACCAGCTGCTACACAAGATATACTTGAAAACCAGCTGATGAATAAGATTGCACGACTGGTTAGGTCGTGGTTTTCTATGCAGCTTTTCAGGTAAATTCAAATATTCACAATATATTTGACAGTGTGGTTTAATACCAAGTAAAAATAAGTACAACTCCTGATTGCCATGCATAGTACATAATTGCACTTACAGGGCTATTACATTTACCTCCCCACTTTTGGAGGAAGGGCTGTTCCCTTCAACTCGTCAGGGGGTTGGTTACACCTGCCATTATAAGAAAGTGGTGTAGCCGGCTACCTCCCTCCCTCCCTCCCCAAGTGAGTAGGGGAGGTGGGATGAACATGCTTGTGCTAATTTAGAGAGATTTCAATAGTTGAGGGGTTCTTTCTGTGTTTCTTGAGGCTGGGGTAAAGAAATGACCTATATTTTATTCACTTATGCCCCAGTCATTGTTGCTGTTAAGCAGACACAGGCAGGCAACCAGCCAGTCACAGTCAGTCAGGCAGTCAAAGTGTCTCAGTCTCTCGTTATTCTACCAGTAAGAGGCCACCGAGGAAGTGACTGAGATGGGTGGGGATTGGTGGGTGTCAGAGGGAGTTGGGGTGGGAGCTGAAAATGTCAAGATGATGGGGGGAGGGAAGGGGCCTTGAAGGAAGAGACGAGGTGTGTATATAAGGAGATTAGAAAGGGGGAGAGCTGGGAGGGAGGGGTGGGGAGGTTAGGGAGTGAAAACTAGCAACTTGTACCAGAGAAGGAAATTGGTCTGGGGGGGGCCCCCTCTACCGAGCTTTCTCCCCACATAAGATGAAGTTTCTCCCCATCCCATCAAAGTGAATAACAGTGGCAGTGAGAGTGATAAAACTCATTCTTGAGTGTCACGTTCAGAGTAAAATAGTACAAAATTATATAATTAACCTTGGTGGTGATGGTATATTTTCTTGGCAAAAATTTTTCTGGAATTTTATTCATCGGTAAAGAAAATTTGTGTAAATGCCGATTGTGAAGTCCAATCAGCTCATGACGATAGAGGTATGGCCCCTTTCCTGTAAAGACAGAATAATTTTATGAATTAATATACACCATACTCTATTATTTAATTTGTAATATTCATGAATAAATTTAAATACTTAAGTTTAATTTATGAGATACAGTAGGCCTATGATTATTGTTTGAGAATATGTTTTGATTATAGCCGACGAAGTGAGTATATCCAACCCGTCTTCCTGTTTAGATAGTATTTTTTGTAACTATGTGCACCATAGTACAAACATTAATGTACCAAGCAATTAGATAGAAGAATTTTGTATTATTCACTTTATAGGGTACAAAAAAAAAAAGCATTGAATGTAATGAAACGCCATTTTTTGGTTGAGACCCAGAGGCTCCCCAGAGCTATCCAGGCTGATATGTATATTATTAGACTTCGGCATCAGTCAGTGTGAATGGAGTTCTAGGCCTACCGGGGACCACGAACCAGAACCTGGCCCTTTTAGAGAGGCACGAGGAGCAATGGCATATAGTAATGCACATGTGATTTGGAGCATTCTATGTCTGCCATTGACTGGACCAGGCACCCAGAAAGGTAAGCGCTTCAAAACAAACCTCCTATTCTGGTTAAAACTACTACAGAAGTCTAACGAGTGGACAGTACTCCCCAAATGAAAACGAGCAAACGAGCACGATGTCAACAACCTTAACAGAAAGAGAAGTATACCGACGAAGAGACAATGAATCGAAAGGACGGCCAGGAAACTTCATACTGCCACTGAGACGAAGCCCACAGATGGGACACGATCAAAGAAGCCACCTGATCGCAACACAGATGGTGATAGACTCGAGGGAGAAGATCGAACCAGTCTGGTAACGGCCCAGACCGATCTGCTGAAAGGGTTCGGACACCGAGCAAGCAGTGCCTGATACCAAGGCTGGGCCAGCCACGATGGGCCCAGGAGAATCACCCATCCACTGATACGATTACAGCCTAGCCAAAACCGGAACAACAGCCACACCGGGGAAAGGAGGTACAGGAACCCCCACCTCGACCAGTCCTGCCGAAAAGCGTCCACCGCGAGGGCCACGTACAATGGGAGATACTGAGACCACGCCGACACTAGGAGGTCTACTTTCAAGTGCCTGTACGTCCGACAAAGCCAAAGCCAAAGGAAGGAGGTGGTGTCGTAAAACTCTGTAAAACATCATGCAACAGGCTGTCTGCCAGGATGTTGGACACTTCCCGAATGTGAACACCGCGGAGAGCTAAACCCTGAGAACTCGGCAGAAGAGCCACTCGAAACGACCAGACTCGAAGAGACAACCCCCAATCCCCCCGGTTGAGACAATGAACCACGGGGAAAGCACTCTAAATGGAGCCTGAGAGGAAGCCACACAACCTCAGACTCCCACGTGCTGTGAGCCCGACGTGAGAACAGCCCCCCAGCGTCCCTCGCCGGACTGGTGAGCACTGGTTACAAAACCCCAACCGAGAGACGAGGCATTTGTGAAGACGGAGACGCAGCAAACCGATGCAAGGACACCAGGGAAGGCACCCAGTGATCGTGAGAGCTGTGAAAGAGACTGCCCCGAAGATACCAGAACAGCCTCCGAAGCCAAACCCTGCCCAGAGGATAAACCAGCAGGGCAAAGTTCAGGCTCCAGCACAGCTGCTCAAGCAACCACAGAGTGACCAAGGTCCGTCTCAAAACAGCTGAAGGCGGGGCCGCAACCAGAGCAAAGACGCAGCAGGGAGAGAAATGGAAACAGTCTGAGAACCCCACACTAAGCCCAGCCAAGGCCGAACCTAGGACAGAACTGGGACTGCCGCCAATTTACCAGGAAACCGTACCCAGCAACCTGGGAAAGAACCAGAACCCCGGCCGTGAACAGACAAGCAGACCAGCAGGGAGCCCATACCAACCAGTAGTCGAGGCAAGCTGCCAGCCAGGAAGAAACCGGAACCTCGCAACTCCCCCGATCAGCTTCAGAGGAACTGAACTCAAACAAAACTGGAGCCAACAGAGGCAAAAACTGGGTCTTGCAGGAGGTACACACCATGGACCTCCCGAACCTCCCTAGGGGAGAAACCTAGAGGAAGAAAACCTCCGAAGACAAATCCGAGGAACCCAAGGGCAACCATGACTGGGGCCTGACAGCTGAGTGGACAACACTTCGGATTCGTAGTCCTGAGGTTCCGGGTTCGATCCAAGTGGTGGGCTGCCGGCAGCACACCACTCCACTCCAGTCCAGTCCACCACTAGCACTAACGAGAAGAGTGGTAGTTGGATGTAGTGTTACTTGTTTGTCTTTTTTCTGGGGGAGTTCTTTTGCTATGTTCAGACACAGGTCGCAATTTTTCCCAGATTGTGGTCGATGGCAATTATGACATTTTAAATGTAAAGTTCTCATAGGCCATTGCTACCTGCACCTCTCTGAGGGGACCAGGTTCTGATTCATGGTTCCCGGTAGGCATAAGGACTCCTGTGACCGATGACCCCAAACTAATATAGCACAAATCAGTTCAAATAGCATCAGAGAGCCGATGGGGCTCCCCACAGAAAGGCAATATAATACAGTACTCTTACATAAAATAAAAACAAAAGCAAGTTTTTTATATATTGCTTTACCTGATATTGTCATGAGCACATCTTTAATGACAAACATCCATGTCGTTCTAGTAGGTAAGAGCTGTTCCATGGCAGCTTCATGTAACTCATTGAGATTGAGTGTATATATTCCCTCTTCTGCTCCTATGAGAATGTGCTGGTCACGAGTGTCTGGATGGATCCAAGAGGCTGTACAATGTATGTGAAGTGGGCACCCATTGAACACCTGAAAACTTGTAACTGTCAAATTGTGCATTATGGAATCTTCTCCATTAAAATATTAACAGGTCAATAGTGAATGCATAATGTCATTTAGTTCATTTGACAAATTTAATTCTTATGCTATATCATGAACAAAGTTTTGAGTATAATTATCAAGCTTTTTACCTTGGAGAAGCAGGCACCCATATGAACTTTCGGTGTGGGTGGAAGGCCATTAGACTGCGGTCTTGGAGGGGTATTGTGCCTGCGTTTATCTTTTCTCCGTGGAGGAACAGGGGGTGTCCCACTATCTTCATCCTCTCCTCCACTACCTCCTGCCTGTCCATTTTCCTTGGTTCCTACACACACACACACACACACACACATTTACATGTAAAAATTTGAGGCCAAATTAATCTTATGGGATTTATTAATAGGGACAGGAATAATATTAATATTTTATTAATAGTCAAGGGACAGTGCATAATCAGTTTCCCAAGGGGCAGAGTCTGTGTCAAATTAGCAAATGTCAATGAGACTGTTATACAAGTCATTAATTACAGCAGCTGCTGCAGGACTCCAAGTGAGCTGCACTTGGAGTAATAGAGTTGTAGACCTTCCTTTGCAGATGACACAAAAATCACCATGAAAATTACTTCTGCTGAAGACATTGAAAAACTACAAGCAGATATTAATAAAGATTTCAATTGGGCAGCAGAAAATAACATGATGTGTAACAGTCATAAATTCCAGGTACAGTACTCGGGTACGGCAAAAATGAGGACCTTAAACATAATACAGGGTACAAAACACAATCAAATGTGCCCATAGTAGGAAAGCAGCATGTCAAGGATTTGGGAATATTGATGACTAACAATATAATGTTTAGGGAGCATAACCACGCAAATATTGCGTCAGCCAGAAAAATGATTGGATGGATTACGAGAACTTTCAAAGCCAGGGATCCCATCACAATGGGTTGTACATTTCAAATCACTTGTGCTGTCCCATCTTGAGTACTGCTTAGAACTCACTTCACCTTTCAGAGCAGGAGAGATTGCTGAAATAAAGGGAATACAGAGAACATATTAGGCACGCATAGATGCGATAAAGCACCCAAATTATTGGGATCGTCTCAAAGCTCTCCAAATGTACTCACTAGAAAGGAGATGAGAATATCAAATAATATACACATGGAAAATACTGGATGGCCAGGTACCAAATCTACACAGTAAAATAATAATGTACTGGAGTGAACGATATGGAAGAAAATGCAGAATAGAGCCAGTGAAGAGCAGGGGTGCCATAGGCACAATCAGAAAACACTATAAACATCAGAGGTCCACGGTTGTTCAACGTCCTCCCAGCAAACATAAGAAATATTGTGGGAACAACTGTAGACATCTTCAAAAGAAAACTAGATTGTTTTCGTCAAGGAGTGCCAGACTAACCAGGCTGTGGTGGATATGTGGGCCCACGGGCCGCTCCAAGCAACAGTCTAGTGGACTATGCCCTCACAAGTCAACCCTGGCATTGGGCCAGGCTTGGGGAGTAGAAGAACTCCTAGAATCCCATCAAGCAGGTACCAAGCATTAGAAATATTGCTGGAACAAATGTGGATGTATTCAAGAGGCACTCATCTAAGTTCTTGCAAGAAGTGCCAGAGCATCCAGGCTGTAGTAGATATGTGGGGCTGCAGGCTTGCTCCAAGCAACAGCCTGTTGGACTAAGTTATCACAAGTTGAGCCTGGACTCAGGCCGGGCTCGGGGAATAGAAGAACTCCCAGAACCCTCTCCAGGTATGCTCCAAGTGAACACACTATAGAAAATGGGAACACAGAACCAGAGCAACACCAACACTCAGCACACTACACCATGAGCATAGATAGCTCTCATCCTGGAACTACCCTTAAGTAATTCCAAGTCAAGAATTGACTAGTGGCAGCCTAGCTCACCCGGGCCAATTCCCCACTTCCCCCATCGAGGGAAGAGATGGAGCTAACTAGTGGGAGGAAGGAGGGATGGCTTAATCACGTTTTGGTTGCTTGTTTTCTTGTTGGGGAAGTTCTTTTGACATTTTGAGGGTGATGGTCTCGTTTTTAACCATGAGGTAGTCTGTTTAGATATGCCTAGCTTTCTGGATGTTCCTTGGTTGATGACAAGATGATAAACTTTAAATACAAAGTGTTCATGGGCCATTGTTCCATGCTCCTCTCTGAGGGGGCCAGGTTGTGGCTCATGGTCCCAGTAGGCAAAGAATTCTGTGACTGATGACATTCAAGTAGTATGGCACTTAATCACTAAGCTAGCTTCAAGGAGTTGGTGAGGTTCCCCACAGAAATCCTCATTTAATCTAACATTTGTACAAGCCCCTGAACAATTTGTACTGAAAACAATTTGTTTGGACCATCCAAGAATTCATTAGAATGGGGTTCGTTTAGAGCAGCATTTCTCAACCTTTGAAACCCTGAAATAATGGCGAGTTGTAATTTAGATAAACACACGTGGATTTCATTGTCAACTGAAGGTAGATGACTTCTGTCTTTGCATTTTGATACTGGTTAAGTGAGAAAATTAAATACAAAAATTATTAAAAAATACATTTACATACAATTAAAATTAGCTTATTTGTATCTCTCTTATGGAACCCATAGTTACTTTGGGATTCCACGGAACCCCAGTTGAGAAATGCTGTTTAAAGATTGAGGATACACTGTAAATGTATAAAACAATGTTTATGATGAATAAAACACAACATGTATATCGTGCCGATATACATGTTGTGTTTTATACCGAATGGTGTACCCTTACCATCTCGTCTGCGATCATGTTGACTATCACTCTGAGCCCGAGCTCGAGCCGTTGCTGACGTTAACGTCAATGTGGCAGTCTGATCAGTCAACTCTTCTCCTTCCTCATGATGGGCTTCTGCACTGGAATGTCTTCGTGCATGTCCTCGATCTCGACCAGGCGATGACGACTTGCTGTATCTACTAAAATATGATTTAGTTTACTGAATGTGTAATTTTCAACTAAAATTAATTGCAAAAAAAAAAAAATTGCATATTTTGTACCCATCCACAAAGTAAATTACTAACCCTTACAATGAACATATCCACATGAACTTTGATGAGGGTTCCAACACATACGCCGAGTGTTCCCAGACGTGCTCTAGTCAACTGTACCATGACATGTTTTTTGTTCGACATGTACCACTGCCAATTCTTATGATTATAAAAACACCCCAATGTCCTGGGAAAGGGAGGGTGTTGGGGAGCCACTGGGGCTTACCCATAAATTGGCATTTCATTGCATTCAACTCTGGTTTTCTGGAAAAAGGGAACCCCCCTTGTGGTTTCCTGAAGCTATCTACCTACAGAGAAGGAAGAAGGACTACAAGGATCAAGACAAAATAAGAGACCAACAAAACCCCCTGCTCCTGAAGACTAGCCCAAGACATATGAGCAAAGACTGTCAAAAGATCAGCATACTGATGCACGTCATGGACATGAGGGCAGACCACATGCTAGACCATAAAACCAGCATTGAATGTTTCATTAAACGCCAATTTCTGGGCGAGCCCTGGAGGATTCCGGAAGCTATTACACTGATTCGTGCCATACTACTAGGTGCCATTAATTGCAGAGTTCTTATTGGCCTACAGGAGACTACAAGCCAGAACCTGGTCCCCTCAGAAAGGCACATGGAGCGGTGGCCCTATGAAAACTGTACATTTAAAGTTACTCAGGTTTGCCACCACCAGAGAAGCACCCAGAAAGACAGCGAAACAAAACAATTTTATATCGGTTATAAATATATAGTATATATATGTATATATTATGGTTATAAATGAGACCACAGCTTCAAAATTGCCAAACTCTCCAAACAATGTAAACAAACCATCAAAAACTTGTGAAAATAGCACATGCTAGATTACACCACCCCCTCCTTCATTTGGGGGGAGAAGAGGCAGGCCGGGTGCCTCCACCACCAGTTCTTATGATGGACACCTGATGTCCTAGGGGGATGGGGGGTGTCAGGAACATTAGTAAACACAGCCATCAGAACAGCATACTTATGGCCAATGTGGGCATGAGGGTAGACCATAGGCTGGCTAGCTTTTATGACACTGAGGATGACCTCATATATATGAACCCTGGAACAAGGAACCAGGGAAACAGGATGAACCCATAAAGAGTCTACCAAAACAGAACCAGTGGCACGAAGGTTGTGGCATAAAGCTGTTACTGAGCAGAGCACATGATCTGTGTTTCATTGGATCTGTAAATATGTTCGTCTCAAAGATTAAGCCAAGCATGTGTAAGTACAAGCAGAGTTAAGGTGAAATTTTAAATGGTGAATTAAATCAGGTATGTTTCATGCACCCCAGCTGAACCAACCACGAATACACAACCAAAGAACCCTTCTGGAAACCAGCCAGAGGGGTCCTTTGACAGATTACATTAACTCTTAGCCTCAAAATCATTTGCTGGTTATAACAAGGGCAGCAACTATATGAGATCCTAAGCCATTATACATTTTTCCAGAAAATGCGAGGGGTTAACTAACCTGTTGTGATTGGCCTCATCGAGGGCTTGACTAGCTTCATTGATGGATGTCTCATCCATACCCACTGGAAGAGTTGCTCTGAAGGGAACCACACAAACAAGTATTAGATACATATACCACCACAGGATCACCAACCAAATTAATTACAGTATCAATGACTTACAAATGGGTATGCAGACGAGGAGTCGCAATAACGTGGCTGAAATATGTTGACCAAACCACACACTAGAAAGTGTAGAGACGACGACATTTCGGTCCATCCTGGACCATTCACAATCGATTTGAGAATGGTCCAGGATGGACCAAAATGTCGTCTTGCTTTCACTTTCTAGTGTGTGATTTGGTCAACTTACAAATGGGTACACATCCTAATCAATGCACAGGAAGAAAATGAAGATGGCAATACAAAATTATACATTTTTAGCTGCCTCTCTTGCTTGTAAGTTGCAAACATGTATCTATCACATACACTGTTTTGTGCAACTCTTGGAAAAATTAAAAATAATGAAGTTAACTTGGAAAAATATGTGAGCAACACTAAATAGATAGATTGCCTATATACTTTTCCAATGATACGTGTAACCTTATGAATGGCAGTGTATACTCTATTCTAATACCATCACCACTGGCATAAAAGCAAATTATCTACTTAATTAACCTTACCCCAACAGACTAAACTACTTTTAAAAGCAGTCAAATCAAATTCTGACTGACCAATGTATATTTATTAAGATTTTAGTTATAAAAAAAGGAAAAAAATTAGGTGTGTTGGAACTGTTATGAGTTCCATTAGTAAAATTACTAATTCAATTAGCAAAACTCAAAATACCATGGACAATGGCTTAAATTCATATATGGCAAAGTCAGTCAAATTTGTTTGACAAGTTTTAGAAGACAAATCAGCAAATGTAAAGCACTGCTGCTTATGGAGCAATAACTTCATACTTATTTTTCAGGTGGTCATTTTGAATTTTACTGTTTACTTTTAACTATATTTTAGCCAATATTGCTGATTCATCACTAGCAATGTTAGCAATGAACATGCATATACAAAAATTCAAACCAAAACAACGTATTTGAGCTGTATTACAAAAGGTATAATTGCAAGGTTGCCCCCAAGACCTTGTCATGCACTTATCACACCGACACAGGGGCCAACAGTGCTGTCAACATCCCTATAAACAAGTGGGATAATATATATTGTTCTATATAAGCAAATGGACATATGTTTTTCTATAAACAAGTGGCTGTGATGTTACGTACCATAATAAACTGGTAGCAGCGGCAACAAACACCTACGTACATAACAAGTGGCTGTGATGTTACATATCATAATAAACTGGTAGCAGCGGCAACAAACACCTACGTACATAACAAGTGACTGTGATGTTACGTATCATAATAAACTGGTAGCAGCGGCAACAAACACTAACGCACATAACAAGTGATTGTGATGTTACGTATCATAATAAACTGGTAGCAGCGGCAACAAACACTAACGCACATAACAAGTGATTGTGATGTTACGTATCATAATAAACTGGTAGCAGCGGCAACAAACACCTACGTACATAACAAGTGGCTATGATGTTACGAATCATAATAAACTGGTAGCAGCGGCAACAAACACTAACGCACATAACAAGTGGCTATGATGTTACATACCATAGTAAACTCGTAGCAGCATTGGACTCCAACCAAAACACTCAGATTACAGCCCTTATTTTTTTTATACTTCTAAAATGCTCCATAACCCAAAGCATCAATATGGAACTAACATGTCAATATATAGTGGTTTATCAACATTACAAATTTTATCAACAGTTTTCAGATATTCAAGGGTAAAAAATAATAAAAGATGCTTAAGGGTATGACAAGAAAGGCCCAGCTAAACCTTAGGGAGATGCACCAGATCTGAGACCCACCATTGTCTACCAGGAGGCACAACCAGAATTTCTCAAAACTGAAAAAATAACCTATAGAAACCATAGGTGCAACAAAAACAAGCCATTGCCCAAAGAAAATTAGGAACCCTCACGTAAAGAGGCAAAGCATCGCTGCTGAGATGTAAACACCCTAACCATGATGTTCATGACCAGCAATCCGATTACCCCAACCATCATCAGGTCGCACCCCCCAACTAACCGAGTGTGAGGGTAAGCTAGCCTTTCCCATTTAAGCAGTAGCAGAATCCAACACAAAGTAACACGGACCCCAGGGAAGGAATGTGTAGCTACTGAAGTGTAACTCAAAAATGGTTTGTTTAATACATTCAACAATATTTTTGGGTAGAAACTTCCCAGCAGCAGCTCTGTTTACTGACAACTGCATGCTGATGGGGACTACCACAAAGACAATAGGAAAAGTTATTTACAAATTCATATATAATGGAGAACTAAACAATTAGACCCAGAAAGTGGAGACCTTAGTCATGAGCAAAGCATCAGAGGGCCACACCTCTGCACCAGGAATGGAAAACATCAGGCAAGAAATTGGAAGGCAAGGATCTTGTAGAACCTCCAAACCCCTGGGCCTGAATATGAGCTGTAGACATGCACACAAATAATGGAGAAAGTGCATGAAAGATCTGAAGCTAATGAATTTGAGAAAGTTATTGAGCTGACTCGATTCAACTACTTTATAAATCAACCGTGAAAGATGTGCTTTGGGAAATAGCAGCACAAGACAGGACAGTGTGTTTAATGAACACTGGGCCTAATAAACCATGAAACAATAAGAACAGCCTCCAACAATAAGCAGAAGACTCATTTGTAGCCAGAAATAGGAGAGGTGACAAAGCAATCCACAGTCAAATACTAATGATTCATCTCTGTCGCTAAGCCGAGATTTCACTTATGTTATGCTGAAAGCTAAGGTCAGTATTTTAGTACAGGGGATTTAGGGATGACAAGAACTCCACCACCTACTATATGAACCAAAGTGGCTTGAGTGCAGGATACACACGGCCTACCCCAATGAATGGTGGATGCGAGAAATGTAGCCCAAAATCCAAAAAGGTTAGCCTCTGCCAGTGGTGACTGATAGGATGTGACAGTATTCCCAAAATACTCATGTGAGGATATCCATAACCATCACAATTTATAGAGACAAACCTACTAAAACAAGAACTTGTGATCACTCACCATGTCATGTCATGGTGGCATGCTTTCAACAACATAATATGATCAGTAAAACTCTCTAACCTAGTTGTCACAAAGAGGAAAACATGAAGTGGTTGGAAATGGTAAAGGAATCCCACCAACTAGTACCAGATGAAATGCACCACGTACAATAGAAGCTACCAGATACAAGCCAACGTGAAAAGAACCACCAGTGTGCACCCGACTGTAATGCATAGACACACAGACAGACAAGTAGATGTCCACCTCCCATTCTCTCAAATGCAAATGTAAAAGGGATAGATCATCTATACGCAGAGCTGACATCCCCATAAATGTGAGCAGCAGTAAGGACTCAATTCCAAAAAGCCAGAAGGAAAGTTATTCTGAGAATTCATTGTCACAGAGGCATGTCATAGGTGAAACCACTCTGATTATATAGTGAAACACTAGGAAGGCAATTTGAATTTAACTGAATTAGTGAACACTGTGGGAAAAGGATACACTGCAGCAGCATCCAGACAGCCAAAACCAACGTTCCTGTCATGTGCATCTCACACAGCACCAAAGGCCAGAGTCCTTAACCCGCAAGTTGATAACTAGAGAAAGTCCCAAGTGTGGTTGAATGCATTCCTGAAATGTTCGATTGACTTAGGAGGCGATTGCCACAGAACAGTCAAGTCTCTCTATGCTTGCCTAGAGAGGAGAGAAGGAATTACCTCTTCTCACCTGCTCCTCACCTCACTCTTGCCTTACTTATGCCCGTGCCTCCCTCGGTCCCCACCAAAATCGACTTGATAATGGTACTGGACGGCCGAAATGCCGTCGTTTTCTCCTTTTCTGGTGTGTGGTTTGGTCATCATATCTTCAACCACGTTACTGTGACTCATCGTCTGCATGATTAGTATCTTCAAATAGATACGGCCATATCAAATACCTGTAATAAATTTCTTTGCTGGACAAAGACACAGGAAATGCCTGTTGTCGTCCTGTCACTTCAGTCACCCTTATGACATTATAAGTTCAAAAGCATGTGACAAGGAAATACAGAATTCAGCAGTTCATACATTATTAGTAGTGAAATGAATTAAAATTTTGAGTTTAATTATGAACATAATAACCTGAGTTTCCGTCACATAAATGCTTTATTGCAGATGACCTTTAGTAAAGGTTTACACACACACACACACACACACACACACACACACACACACACACACACACACACACACACACACACAGGATGTGTGTGCAAGCGCAACTAAGTGAGTAAACAGGATGTGTGTGTGTGTGTTACATGATGAGAGCATAGCTCTCATCCTGTAACTACACTTAGGTAATTACACACACACAAATCAGCAAATTATTCATGCTGAACCGAGCATGAATGAGATAGTTTCCATTCTTCCTCCTAAATACCACAATCTTACTCCCTTTGCTATATTCATCAACTGTTGAAGAAAGTTATTCAGCAGGGAGAATGCAACAAAACAACAATCTCAAAAACTCAGATTTGAATGTAATGAAATGCCACTTTCTGGAAGAGCACCAGCAGCTTCCTGAGACTTATCTCGCTGAGATTGCTCTACCGGAATAGTTACATCAGATACAAAAGTTCTGGAAAGCATGGAAACAGTCAAACAACTCTGCAAACAATTCAAACGAACAATAGATTCACTCAAAAATTACTCAAACTCATTATTACTGATAGCTGCCAACAGGCAGCCAAGATCCTGCCACAGCTGGTTCTCCTAGTTAGTTTTGGCGCTAATGAAAAACCCACTGACAATCAGACCTGAGGAGAAGCTGAGTGATCATACTCATAATTAGAGGTGGAATTAAAAATTCTCCTCCCTGAAGCAGAAAACCCTCCACAGTGGGAACCAGAGTTCTCAAAGGGTATAAAAAGGCACCCCACAGCCTCTCATCAAGTTTCTCCACCCCCCTTAACCCTACTCTAAAACCAATATTCTCACCCAACACCTGAGACTAAGGCACCCTCCCAAAGAGAATGTGCAGTATGGACAGGCTGTCGTGAAGGCGAAAACCCCGAACTCCCAGTTGGACCAGAATGCTCAACAACCTCTGCTGTCGAAGTGGATGGGATCACATCAAGAGAAGTGCCAAGCTACACCCCGAACTAAACCATGACCCAACTCCAAAACCCTTGGACACTTTGGAGCCAAAACCAGGGAGGGAAAGATCAGAAGAGTGGGAACCACAACTGAAGAGGGAAAAAAGAGGAGGCATGGACTTGATCCAGATGGATGTCACAAACACCTCCAATTTAAGGTCCCTCAACACCATAGGGGCAAACTCCTGGGCATCCAAATTATCACCATGCTGTGAACACCTAACCTGAGCAAACCTCACTCACAAAGCAGCAGCTGCCTGATAAGCTTCCAAACTTGAAGCCAAATCAGTCAGTGCAAAGACCCAGTGAGAGAAAATCTCTCAGAACTCGGGGTCATAGTTGTCACCAACCCAGTAGGCAGCATGGTAGAGACAAAAAGAATCATGTCTGGTAGCAAGGACAATGAACACCCTTTGAGCTCACATAGTGAGCGTGGGCTCAGAAGGCTGATCCATAACCATCCACACCCAAAGCCCATGGCATGAATTACTAGAGTCTGAAGGCAGCTAGCTAACCAGAACACCCAAGTACTGTACTGAGGTCCCTTACCAAAGGAACAGATACCAAATGCAGCCAACACTCCTAGGTTAAAAAAAAAAGATAGCAGCATGTTGCATTAACTAGTGCACCCCACACAACCAACAGAATGCCCCAAGCCAAGAGCCCCGACAGAGGAGTCAAAGACTCAAGAACAGCCTAAGTCAGGGCTTTCTACCCAATGGCCTGGCCTCTCAGAAGCAAACTCCCAAATACACAAAAGAAGCAACTCTGTCAGTGCAAGGGTAACACTAAAGAACACCCAGTGAAGAAAACCCTAAGCACATGCAGCTCAAAGCACTAACGAAGCCACAACAAGCTGGAAAGAAACTGACGTGAAGAACTCAGTAATATCAAAGAACACATAAGCATATGGTTTCCACAGGATGAAAGAAGTCCAAAGAAGGCAGGCACCTAGCATGAAGCAGAGAACTTGCCACAACTGATAGACCAGAGCACTACAGTTAGTATTAACCACCATTACATAAGAGACAGAACTGACCATGGGAGCCAGCTGTGGGCCGGGGCTGGGCTGCTTGGTGGCAGCTATTAGTACGAGTTTGAGCTAGTCTTGAGTGAATCTACTGTCTCATTTGGATTGTTTATAAGAGTTGTTTGGCAGTTTCAAGGCTTTGCTTACTGTAAATCCTTCAGTGTCCATAACCCTTGCTTGTCTGTAAAGCTTCACTGATTTTCTGGACGCTTACCCGGTCAGGTGGCAAACTGTCACTCACTCTCTGTGCCTCTGTGAGGGGCCCAGTTCTGACTCACGCGACTGATGTGACCCTATAAGTGTAATAAGCAATCTCGGCAAGATAGCTACAGGGAGCCACAGGGCCCAGAAAAGAAAGTTCAGCAATAAGATAGAAGAAAAAATGATGTGTGTATGGTATACCAGTGTGCAAGAACATACCATGCATGAACAAAGTGTTTCAGGGAAGAAAATTAATACATTACCACAATTTCACTGGGATGATTGACTTTCTATTTACACACAATCACCATTGTAATTACTACATGCAATATAGGAGTTATACTTAGTTTTTAATATTCAGCCAAGAAAGTAACAAACACAAAATACAAACATTGTAATTTGAGAGTAAGGCAGTAGTAAATCTTCAGTTCAAATTAAATAATAAAATTATAAGAAAATATTTCAAATTTTAAGCTATATTTTCCAATAGATGTCTCTCTAGTATTACTGCTAAAGACAATTATTTTAAGCCATTCGTGAGATCACCTTATTATTAACAAATTCAAATATAAGGAAAACACTATTTTGCATCATAAAACATGTCTTCATGTACAACAGCCAATTGTAAAGTATCTCCCAATCTTTTGCACTACCATTTCTATTTTTTGTTCTAATATTAAAAAACTTCACACTGTATTTAGTGGAAATAAAAAATTCTAATCACTAAAAATGAGTAATAAAATAATTGATGGTATTTCACACCAATGTTCATGTGTAACGCACAAAAAATCACTCCAACTCTGATGCAAGTTGGAAAAATAGGTGATCTCAAGGCTGGTAATGAAATGTATTCAAAAGTGGAAGTAGAGATCTTAACATACTGCGAGGAGTAGGTCATGTCCACGTCCAAGTCAGAAAGACGATCGCTGTGCCCCCTGCAAATGGACGCCACTCCTTAGCTTTCCTACCACACATGGCCACTCATGCACAACAACCAATGCCAGCAACAGACAAGTAGCTCCAAAAGGCAGAGGCTGTCTTACCACAGCTTCCACTAATCATCATCACTTACTTCACCTGCTAAAAGCTAAGCTTATACATTTGGAATGTTTTTATTTTGACTAGAAGAGAGAGATCAGACCCTAATCTGAATAGTCATGAAAACTACCAATAACATTAAAATTAACAGCCTTTAAGTGCTAGCAATGATTAATGATTCAAATTTATACAGCACTTAATATATGACAATTTACTTAATGCAAAATAAATTGTTTTAATCATGCATTACAAATAGAGCATAGCATACTAAAACCAGTGCTGAATGTAATGAAATGCCAATTTCTGGGTGAACCCTGATGGCTCTTTGAAGCTTTCATATATTGACATGGTATCATCTACTAGTCACTTCAGTTGTGGAGTACTGTAGGCCTAGTGAGGACCAGCACCAGAACCTGAACCCCCCCCTTGCCTGCCACCCCACGACAACACCTAGCCAATTCCTGAACCTTGGATGAATTGGGATGTGCTAATACACATCATAGAGGTCCAGGGAAATTATCCAAGCACCCACCTCCACCACAAGATGAACCTGGAATTAGGTAGTCATCTGGAAAGAGGGGCAAGGACTGAACCAGTTCAACAGAGAAGGGTCAAGAATGAACTGGAGTTCTAGAAAGTCCCTTTTTGAGACTGAGAAGAGGTGGGAAGCCCCTCTGAAAAGACAATGTCATTTCGATCATATCTGAAATCACCCATTCCAAAATGACTATGTAGGAGAGAGAAAGAAGCTGCCCAGAAAGACCTGGAAGGAGGAAGAACTGACCAATTCCATTGCAGGCAGAAGGAAGTGACCTGAAAGCCCATCTCGGGAATCTTGGGAACGAGCATGAACTAAGAGTCTCCCCTTCCAGAAGGAGCGAGCACAGCGCCGGCCAGACGAAATAGGACCAGTCGAGGAAAGCACGTGTCCCAACATCCGACTCCACCAATGGCCTACCTGACCATCAGTAGGCGACACCCCAGTCCTACCCAGCTGCATCGAAGACTAAAAACAAAAGCCCTAAACAAGGAGGAGGTCCATAATGGGCCGACAAGCCATAGGTGATTGCGTCCTCAGGAATGAGGAGTGGGGGGAAAAAAAAGGAGAGGTAGACAAGAGAGCTAGGGCCTATTCCAAATCAAGAATCTGGGCCAATACAGCCTGTCAACATGCAAGTTGGGTGGTGAAGAACATGGCCACTGCCTCTTTGAGTATGGGAGCGTACAGCTTGGGGAGCACAGCCGACACTGCAACAGCAGAGGCCAAGACACTCCCATATGGCCCCCCTGCTGAGCACTCCGAAGTCATCTGTGAGCCAATCAATATGTATTGCAATGAGCCCCAGGAAATGCACACCATAACCCAGATTAAGATGGGCATGAAAGTCATCTGTTACAAGCCCCGCCGAAAACAGGAACCTAGGCATGGAGCGGCACGAGACCCATGTCCCAAGAAAGAACTGGTGCTAACAGGTAGTGATTAAAAGGTACAAAAAACAGGCCTCCACAAACACCTGTAACACGGTCGACACCTCATGCTACACCAGTGTGTGGGTACGACAAAAACTGCCTCAAACCTCGTAATGCATCCAAAACAGAGAAGATCCAGTCAGAGAAGGAAGGGTCCATAAATAAAGCATAACCTGGGTCTTGCAAGAAGTGTGTAAAAATGGTCTAAGAGTTGCTTGTGATATTATATACCAGTGCAGTACAGTGGTTAAAGGAAAAAATAGCTGGCTGAAAGAAAGACCCAGAATCCTCAGTGGGATTAAAAGGTTCTGGCAACTCCAGAAGCTGGCCAAGCCACATTCCGAGTTAAACCCTGCCCCGGCCCGGAAACCTTCAGATGTTTCAGGTCTGAAAACAGGGGAAGAAGATCAGAGGAAGGGTGATCCACACCCAAAAGGGATGGATGAGGTGGTACTGATGGAACCAAGGTAGAATTTATTAACGCCTCCAATTCCAGGTCCTTAAACACCAAACAGGGCAGTGCCAGGGCATCCATCTAGGCACACAACCTAGACTGCTGCACCATAGAAAACCTAACATGTAAAACTGTCACTGTCTGATAAGCCCTAATCTCATTGGAAGGGTGAGAAAGGAGAGCTACATGGGGAAATAAATATCACATGACTCGGGGTCAAAGGTGTCACTGACCCATCAGGCAGCATGGCAGGCAGAGTCAGAAGGGATGAACGTTGCCACGTGGCACGGATGACACGCAACCCCTTAAACTCGCAAAAAGTTAGAGCAAGTTAGGGAGTGATATCCACGTGATCACCAAACCTGCAGGGAATTTCCAGGGATTGAAGGCGAAACTAAGCAGGATACCAAGGCACTGGGATGTTATGCTGGACCTCTGTATTTAATAAGACGGCTGACATGGCCTGGTTCACACAGCTGGGAAGGCTGACCTCGGCATGTTGAGATAAGCATGCGAATACCCAGTGTGCCCCACTAGCCAAACAGCACACGACCCAAGTTAGGACAGGAAAATCTAAAGACACCTGATTCACCCTGGACAAGGGCCACCACAAATGAGGAGGACCCCTAACGACATGACTCCTGAACACTCTAGGGAAGATAGCCCTAGCAGTGCAAGGGCATCAGTAGGGAGCATGCAGGGAAGATAACCCTGGCAATGCAAGGACAGCTCTAGGGAGCACACAGAGAAGATAACCTGTGCATATGCAGCTCCAAGCTCACTCAAATCTAGACTTATGCTACACCACAGTGAAAAGGAAATGTCACCAGTGGCAAAAACCTCCACTTAGCAGAAACAGCTGAACAATGGAGCCAGAGCGGAAGAGAAGTGACGTGGTACACAACAAAACTACTGAGGGTGGAGATGCCCGCTGACCGTGACCTGCTTCCCACTTCAACTCAAACGAGTGGGGGTGAGAAATCATTTGGAACTGCGCTAGTTCCAAGAGATTTCTATGATTTCTTTACATAGTTGGGGGAGTTCTTTCGGTGGTTCTCGAGATTGCAATCTTGAGAACCACTGAAACTACCAAGTCTACTGAATCCAACAGTGGTTTGTTTTACTTCCCGACTTTCTGGTTGTCTTCCCCAATGGTGGTATAAATTTATGAATAAATAAATGTCATCACTCCCTGCACCTCTGAGTGGGTCCAGGTTTTGGCTCTGGTTCCTAGTAGGCCTCCATGGCTGATGTGACCCAGTAGATGGTACCATACAATTATGTGATGGCTTCAGAGAACCATAAGGGGCTCCCCACAGAAAAATTACTGTGGGTATTGTGAGTTCTCAAATTGTCTGGGATACATTAAAAAACAAATGGAAGTATATTTTTTCTAACAACAGGGATTAATTTGATATACAAATAAACACTGGATGCCACTCTTCCCAAGTGGGTTTATCTGGTTACTATTACACACACGTGCGCACACATGCATGCACACACACATATTTGACACCACGAGCGTAGCTCTCATTCTGTAACTACACTAAGGTAATTACACACATGCAGGTTATTGTAATGGATTTGTGCTTGGACTACTAATGTTATCAATTAGTGCAATTATGTGTACATAAATATATATATATTTGTGAGGGATTAATCTCCAATGAAATTAAATTTTGAAAATTGAAATTGCAATTTTTTATATATATTATATTATATTATATATATATATATATATATGTCGTACCTAGTAGCCAGAACGCACTTCTCAGCCTACTATGCAAGGCCCGATTTGCCTAATAAGCCAAGTTTTCCTGAAATAATATATTTTCTCTAATTTTTTTCTTATGAAATGATAAAGCTACCCATTTCATTATGTATGAGGTCAATTTTTTTTTATTGGAGTTAAAATTAACATAGATATATGACCAAACCTAACCTAACCTATCTTTATAGGTTAGGTTAGGTAGCCGAAAAAGTTAAGTTAGGTTAGGTAGGTTAGGTAGTCGAAAAAACATTAATTCAGGAAAACTTGGCTTATTAGGCAAATCGGGCCTTGCATAGTAGGCTGAGAAGTGCATTCTGGCTACTAGGTACGACATTATATATATATATATATATATATATATATATATATATATATATATATATATATATATATATATATATATATATATATATATATATATTTTCTACCTCTGATTTTGTTCATTTATATTTACCATGAGTTTCAATTTGTACATCACTTGGTAAATCAAGTTAAGCAACATTAGGTCATAACTTAGTGGGATTGGGTGGTTACAAATAGGAGCTGCCTCGTATGAGCCAATAGGCCTTCTGCAGTTACCTTTATTCTTATGTTAGCTTAATGGGTGATGACCAAACTTTCTGTTCAGCCATGGTTTGGTTATTGTTCCTGGGCAGCAGCCGATGCCAAAAACAAAGCCCGGAGAAGATTTAAAAGGCAGCTTTAGGCTCACAACAAGAACATTCATGGATGATCTTGTCATGAAAGGGAAGAGTTTCAAAAGTGGGCTATATCCAGATGGACATCATCTGCTGGCTTCTCTCTCTCTTGTCATGCAATTTTGTTGTGGCCATTATGTTATTTGGACACCATACCAGATTAGTTGTACAGTGATGGTGTATAAAACATGTAGATACTTATATATAATGTGTGTATATTGTGTTATAACACCAAATAATAAATAATAATTGCGTAATAATAAATATTTTTTGTCGAGTCCAGAAGTAAATTCTTATAATTTAAATTCCATTATAACCACTATGAAAACTATATAGTAATATAGTATCTGCTCTCTGGCTAATATAGAAAGAATTGAGAACAAAATGTTATACAGAAATTATGAAGACAAATAAAACATTGTTCCCTTGGAATACCTAACACAACCTACCTGACTTTCTGCAAATATACAAATTTAAAATTGTTAAGATAAGTCAGTGAGAGAGAAAATAAATAAAATGTAAAGATGACAAGAGGTTAACCCAACTAGCATATTGTTGGTGCATTAGCGGCAACAGGCCAAGCACTTGCTCTAACAACTATCAAATTATAATAAAAACATTATACTATAATCTATATCAACTTGACAATAAACACAAGGCACTATTTTATAAAACAAGAAAGAACAATTCTGTAAGAAAAGAAAGATTACTCTAGTAACTCAATAATACATACTAGCAAAGATTAATCCATCACATTATATTGCATTTTATTTATTTATTTTGTTTGTGTAAGCTTCAACAACCAAGTTGACTAAGGAGTCATTAGGTTTAGAATGAGATGAGATATGCCACAAGAAGACATAAACTGTCAGGTCTTGAAATTACTGAACTGCTTTGAACACTAACTTTTTTTGAATATTTGAACACTTTAGGCCATCTAACAACTGCCTCACAAATCTTTTACAAAGGTAAATAGCACTCTTTGATATTGCATGAAGTAAAGACAAACTGTTTGAACACTAAGAAGGATACAAAACAATTACAGAAGGATACGAAGGTGCTGTTTTTATAAGCTGTCATCTTACTATTAGAGAAGCATGCTAGGTATACAATGGCAAACATGCAAAACAGTAACTATTATTAGTATTTCTTTGTCAATGCTTTTCAGCTAATTTGTGAGGCTATTCCAGCTACCAGTACAGTATTATGTTAAGCATACACATAGCAGTACAGTACAACAGTTAGTAGGTTAAACTGGTAATATTGGGGAGTTCATACCTCATTCGCAACTCTTCATCAATATACTGCAATAGGCTCCTGTCAAGAGCAAGGTATACAAAGTATGAGTTAGGCAGCATTAGCAATACTGTGTGTGGGGGACGGGGAAAGTGGACGACAGGGTTACACAAGCCCCAAGGTCCCTGACAATAGGGCAGGGAGCTGCTGTGTTCATGAATGACAAATTGCTAAGAACGAGTAAAACAGAGATATTAACACGTTATAGATTGAAACGCAGTATATTAAAAATTAAATATATCACCAACGATTGCTATTATAAATGACCAAAATTACACATTCTGCAAAAATGATGCATCAGTCCTGCAAGGTACTAAAAAATATGCACACCATCAATTTCACATAATTAAGTTAATTGAGTTTTATTGGGTTACTAGATACACAATAATCAATCAAAATTATGCAGAGGCCAGTGAGTGTGTGGATATTGAATTTATGAAAACACATACAGTACAGAGTAACCTCAACTATGTGGGGGATGTCATTACAACCACTTTCCAGATTTACACATTTTTTTGCATATTCAATTACTGTATATTTTATAAGTTTTGGTATGGGGTTTCTTACTAAAAATAATAAAATACATACAGGCACTATCATTAATAATACAAATAAAAAAATTCTAGGGGAAGCCACAGTGGTTCCCTGAAACTCTCTCTCCAAGATTTCCCCGTGCAAATGGGTCCCGTCAGATGTGGGAGCTCTGTTTGGCCTACCAATACCTGCCCATCCCCCTTCCACCTTCACAGTGATTCAGAGAGCAAGTAAAAATTTGCTACCACACTGGGAAAGCATCCTGAGTCAGGGAAGCTTTATGAACAACTAGGGGGATAACTAAGACCAAAACCTTGAAATTCCCAAACTCAACAAATGATTCACAGAGAAAAAGAGAAACATTCAAAATTAGCAGGAAATTCATAGTACCAATTGCCACCAGCAGGCAATCTGGCTTCTGCACGTAGCCATCTTACTTGCTCAGTTTATTCACTGATGTCCAGCTGGACAGTACTGTTCTGGGTCTTTCAGATGTAGAAAGCCCTTCTCTTTCAAGAAAAGTGTCAGCCATCCCTGGACTTGTTTCTGAGGGACTTGTTTCATTTGCTTTGAACTTTATTCTATATTTCAGTTTTTGCTTCACAGCAGTTTTCTATATAGCTTGTGTGGGCTTTGCTTTCCTTGCATTCTAGGGTCCATCTCAGTGAGTCCACTAGCACTATCCTATATCTCTTCTTTGGTAATTACCTAAGAGTATTTACAAGATGAGAGCTACATTCGTGGTGTCCTGGATTCCCAGTACTTTTTGTCGAATAACGCTTTGAAACTACTGACGGTTTTGGCCTTCACCACCTTCTCACCTAACTTGTTCCAACCGTCTACCACTGTTTAGAAAAGTGAATTTTCTAATTCTGAAAATAAACTCCAGCAGCTTTGTTTCGTGAGTTTAAATCTATGACCTCTTGTTCTTGACGTTCCGGGTCTCAGAAATTCTTCCCTATCAATTGTATCGATTCCTGTTACTATTTTGTATGTAGTGATCATATCGCCTCTTTTTTTTTCTTCTATCTTCTAGGTTTTGCATATTTAATGCCTCTAACCTCTCCTCATAGATCGTCCTTCAGTTCTGGGAGCCACTTAGTTGCATGTCGTTGCACCTTTTCCAGTTTGTTGATGTCCTTCTTAAGATATTAAGAATATTAAGATACTCAAGATATGTGGGGGGCTTCCTGAACCTGTTTCTCCTAGTCTGGCCGTTTTCCCAAGTCTTCGCCTGGATGGAGTCCTACCACAGGAGAGTGATCCTTCTGTCCCCTTGGTAGCCAGCTCAGCCTTAGTTTCAGACACTACTTGTGCCTGAAGTGTCCAAACCAGGGCGATTTTTCCGAAACTCCGCTTCTTTCAAAAGGTTAGTTTGATGACATACTTAGTTGCTCCAACTTTCTTTCTGGTTCTTTGCATCTGATTTTTTTTTATGCATCCTTATTGCCACCTTTATGGTGGGCAGGTGGCTTCTTAACACTTTGGCGTACCCCGCCCGCCACCCCTCAACTGTGCGATTTGGGTCCCAGGGTGTCACGGGAGCGCGCGTAAATTCTTAAAACTGTATACTCTCTTCAACTTTGTCACCTTAATTCTCGTCCTACGAGATTAAATTTTGTATCATTGTGTTCGCAATAGAATTCTCTACAGCACTAAATGTATATAAATTCCAAAAGCCCGGCTAATTACCCGCAGCAAACAGAGAAAGTGCGAACGAGTTACCCAGGAGCGCACTAACGCGATAAAATGTTTTCACTATTTTCACTCTGGTCACCTCAATTTTCGTCCTAGGTCTTTCATTTTGGTCTCAATGGGTTCGCAATAGAATTCTCTAGAGGAACATTAGTATATAAAATAAAAAACCTGGTCATGCTCCAACCGCCGATGAGTTGAAGACGGGCCACACGTTAGCCGCGAGCGAGCGCTCAGACGCCTTCCAGCTACACTCCCAATTCCTGCCCTTTTCAAGCCTTTCTTTCACAATTTTCTTCCTGGAAGGGCCTTGTTCATGATCACTATCCATCGTGGAGTAAGCGTAGATAGTTTCTAAAGCCGCAGTAAGAAATATAGCCACGGAAAATAGCCGAAATGTTCACACGTTTGAGATGCGAGGGGAGGCGACATTGGTCACAACAGTGGAGCAAAAACAATGGGCCCACGGCGTGTGCCAAGCTGCCTGAGGGCCACGAGGCTCAACAAAGAAAATGGGAAGACATCGGCACGCATTTTAAAACCAGTCCCAAAAAAATTGGATAAAAACCTGATTTTTGGCGATTATTTAAAGTGGATGACGCAATGCTGTGTCATCCCCGGCATCACCGACAGTAAACGGATGACGCAATGCTGCGTCATGCCCGGGCGAAAGTGTTAAAAGTGTCCCACTTACATTCCTCTTCTCAATAGCAGTATGAGGTTTCACGTCACTCCATTTTCTCTGCCTTTGTTCTTCAGTTACTGAGTGTGTGGTGCTCTTCTTTCTTTCTTGGCCTTTCTTGATTGTCATCCTATGCAAATACTGTTGCTTTGTATCACACAGCACTGGTAGAGCTGCTGCGGCTTGCGATCAGGTTCCATCCTCCCTTGGCTCCATTTCACAGGCTGTTTTGCACATCTTCAATCAGTGACTCTTTTCTTCCATGTTTAAGTTGCTTCGTTTGTAGCTGCCTCCATTTTTTTCTGCTGAGGACTGAGTTGGTCAGCTTCTGAAGGGCTTGTTTGGTGTTTGGTCATTGCTGCTCGTTTCATTTGGCTGTGGTGAATTATGAGCCGTTTTTAGCGGTGGCTCACTGTTGCTATTCGTGCTACTGATTCTGCCTCTGTGGATGTCTAGATCACAATAGGATCAACCCCTGCATCTATGGCGTTTGAAAGTCTGCCACTTTGTTGGTGGAGTTCGCAAGTGTGTCCTGTGTTGTTTTTGGGCACTGAGATTTTTGGAGGTCGAACAGAGTTCTGAAAGCCTAGTCTCTGGTCAATGTTCCTGGGCTCTGATTTCTTTGGGTGGATGGCTTTGGGTCATGTCCCACAGCCAGGTGTCTCCACATTTTATTTCTGTGTTGCTTCCTCCTCCATGGTGAGTGCCCATTTGTCTTCCTTCTCTGCGAGTAGTTATCCTCAGGAAGCCACATGGGTCTTCGCCCAAGAAAACTAGAGTTTAATGTAATTAAACACCAATTTCTGGGAGAACCCCAGTGGCTCCCTTCCAGGTTGTTGGGTGGATACTTATGTCTGCCCTAGAACTGAGCCTGGATAGGGGAAGGGGGGGGAGGGGGAGGGGGGAAATTGGCTGCAGCTGACTAGAACTGAGGGTGGAGACACGCGGGCTGCCTCCCCCTCCTCCCAAATGACTGTGGGAGGTGGGGGCAAACAAGCTTGAACTAAATCCAAGAGATATTGATTGATTGTTTACATAGTTGGGGAGTTCTTTCAGTAGGATTACAGCCTGTGGTCTCCATTGAAGCCAACAGTGGTTTGTTTTGACATGCTGTCTTTCTGGTTGTCTTCCTTGGTGGTGGCATAAGTAAATAAATGTCACTGCTCCCTGTGCCTCTGTGAGAAGGACCAGGTTCTGGCACTGGTCCCCAGTAGGTCTGTTTTGACATGCTGTCTTTCTGGTTGTCTTCCTTGGTGGTGGCATAAGTAAATAAATGTCACTGCTCCCTGTGCCTCTGTGAGAAGGACCAGGTTCTGGCACTGGTCCCCAGTAGGTCTACAGAACACTGTGGTTGCCGTGACATAACAGATGGTACCATATAGTATATGATAGCTTCTGGGAACTATCGGAGCTTACCCACAAATTTGTGTTTCATTACATTCAACACAGGTTTACTAACATTTAATATTAAAGGCAAAAAGGGAGAAAAAAAAAAGGAATTTTTTGAGTACAGTATTAATGATATTGAATCTTTCTGGCTTGTCCATATACAGGCTGAAAATTACAGAAAATTTCAAACCATCTTTTGGATAAAAAAAAAATCGTGATTTTAAAGTTTCTCTTACACCGAGTTCTAAATTTATGAGGCTACACTGTACTGTACAGAGAAAAGTAATTTTCAGTTCGGTATTTCAAATAAGTTTGAGCTAAATTTTAATTTCTCAAAACATAAAAGAAATAAAAACAACTTGTCATTTATGAACACATTTGCTAATGGGTCAGCCAGGCTACCTCCTACCATAGGCAACATTCATCTTCCAGTATGTGGCTATCTCTCACATCCACATTTTACAAAAAAGTCTCCTACAATATAAATACCATTCTGCCGACTATAAATAGTAAATAGGGGTAAGTATATTATAATCGGAGCTACAATATATACAGTAAAACACTGCTAAATGAAGTTTATATCTTGAATAATTCTATCTACTGTAGCATGAAAAACACGCTCAGTTATATTATCTTTACTGTTTAGTGGTAAGTTATCAAATTTTAGAGAAATCATTTTATTTTGTGCAACAAGCTGAAGAAAACTTGAAATTTTAAACCCTAAATATAATATACAACAAAACAAAAACTATGTCATGCCAAACTTAATATGCAAGAGGCAAAAGTGCTTTCATTTCATACAATCTTTATATAAACAATTAGCAACAAAGGATAAATCTGGGACAAATATGCATCAAGTTCTAAAATAGCTGGAGTAATTGAAGTAAATTTCTTATTTACAAACATATTCAGAGGCACGTACTTCACATATTTATGACCACATCAGCCACATCAAACAATTACGAACAGACTGCACAAATGCACCACACAAGTAGTAAGTTTTAAACTAATCTTTCTTTTCTAATTTATTGTCAGTGTCAAGCATATACAAAAAACTTAATGTTAATTACTATGAAAAATAATATTGCATTCAACCAATATGCATGTGGTCATAATATTTAAAATATTCGTGCCAAAGATATATGTATAAGTGACTATATTATGGGGGAGCAAAATTGCATTAGCACAATATACAGCTCATGACAAGAGTGGTAGAGACCACCTTCAAACATAACCTGTAAAAAGAAAGGAAAAACAAAGTCATTCCATAAAACCAACCAAGACAATAAAAACACCCACTTCTTCCCCTCTTACGGAACCATTCAAGAACTTGGTCAAAAAACTACCTTGGAGACATTCGCAGAACATCTGAGCCTGAGAGAGGGCGTTTCTCCCGTCTGAGGGTATCTTGTGCTCCCTCAGTAGGGGGAGGGGCTTCCTGGGCATCCCGGAATGATGGGGGGGCTTGTTGGGGGGCATTCAAGGAGCCCATATCACTCTTCGATCGGTGGCGATGTCGTTTGTGGTGTCGGGAACGGGAACGGGATCGAGTGGGTCGTTCAGTCTCTTGGTCAGATTGGTCATGTGAGGTTAGTGAATGATAGGGTATGGTTGTGTCTTCAGAATAGTCTGGTATGAGGCAACTTGGTCTCTGACAGTCAACAACAGTACAAGTGGGATCATGATATGGAACGTCTTCATTCTTTAGGATAAAAGAAGTTGTCATGTAATCATTATCATCATGGTCAGGTACAGAGTATTCACTGTTTCCATCTAAGTAAGAGTATTCCCTGTCCTGCTCCCTATGATTATAATAATTATTTAAGAAATAATCATGAGAATAATTGGTTGGAAGCTGTCCATGACTGATCTCCATACCCCTCTCTGACCTTTGGGAATCAGAAATTTGTGGGGAACCAGGGAAGAAACTTGGCGAGTTAATACAGGTTGTGTCTGAATGGTAGGACAAGTTAAGTGGAGGTAAGTTTGCATAGTCTCTATCACTTCCGTCTGCATTAAGTCTCAGATAGCCACCATTTTCATTAGAGCCATTTGTAGTGATGTCCCTGTGCCCCCCTCTGCCCCTCCGTGTGCTGGGCAGTGACTGGGTCCAGGTCAGACTAGTGACAACAATGAGGCTGTCTTGAGAACTTGTTCACATTAATGAAAAATAGGTAATCAATATGTTATACTGATACCTAGTTTGATTAATATCAAACTGGTTGGAAATATATTTAATAACATTTAGTAAATATTTCTCGTATGCTGCTTTGCTCATGGGACACTGTCTTGAATTTTAGTCATGCATCATTAAAATTTTAGCGTCTTGTTTAACAGGAGTGGAATGCATGTGCTATCACGTGAACTTTTGTTAATCAGCTGCTCTGCCGACACCCTTGCAAATATTCAACTTTAAGTAGGGTTATATTTAGATAGCACTCTAGGAGATACTACTAAGTAATTTAAATTTTCAATAAGGTTATTGTTACACACTGATTGCTGTTACGTTAAATGAGCTTCAGAATCTACAATTGTATTAGTGTTTAAGAAATAAAGATACAGTAGTTACCAGTAATCAGATCTTTTGTTAAATAAAGCTAACTTAGAAATCAAAGAATAAACGATCAATTACAATTCCAGCAAAGAGCACCTAACAATCAACTTTCAAATGTTCCAATTAAATATTCACTAGCCATGTACGATTAGCTGTGTGCTTGCAGCCACAAGCACACCAAAATGTTCCTGTTATTCACTAGCCATGTACGACTAGCAGTGTGCCTGTAGCCACAAGAGTGTGCCTGTAGCCACAAGCACACCAAAATGTTCCTGTTATTCACTAGCCATGTACGACTAGCAGTGTGCCTGTAGCCACAAACACACCAAAATGTTCCTGTTATTCACAATCCATGTACGACTAGCAGTGTGCCTGTAGCCACAAGCACACCAAAATGTTCCTGTTATTCACTAGCCATGTACGAGTAGCAGTGTGCCTGTAGCCACAAACACACCAAAATGTTCCTGTTATTCACTAGCCATGTACGACTAACAGTGTTGTGCCTGTAGCCACAAGCACACCAAAATGTTCCTGTTATTCACTAGCCATGTACGAGTAGCAGTGTGCCTGTAGCCACAAACACACCAAAATGTTCCTGTTATTCACTAGCCATGTACGACTAACAGTGTTGTGCCTGTAACCACAAGCACACCAAAATGTTCCTGTTATTCACTAGCCATGTACGACTAACAGTGTTGTGCCTGTAACCACAAGCACACCAAAATGTTCCTGTTATTCACTAGCCATGTACGAGTAGCAGTGTGCCTTTAGCCACAAGCACACCAAAATGTTCCTGTTATTCACTAGCCATGTACGAGTAGCAGTGTGCCTGTAGCCACAAACACACCAAAATGTTCCTGTTATTCACTAGCCATGTACGACTAACAGTGTTGTGCCTGTAACCACAAGCACACCAAAATGTTCCTGTTATTCACTAGCCATGTACGAGTAGCAGTGTGCCTGTAGCCACAAACACACCAAAATGTTCCTGTTATTCACTAGCCATGTACGACTAACAGTGTTGTGCCTGTAACCACAAGCACACCAAAATGTTCCTGTTATTCACTAGCCATGTACGACTAGCAGTGTGCTTGTAACCACAAACACACCAAAACGGTTATTTATATAACCGTTGTTGAGCAAAACACTAAGCCAATAAATCCACCGGGCATTACATTCCATTCATATTACTTTATACCCTAGGTGTGTGAGTAGTAATGCTAAGCACTTAAGACTTACTGCTGTAACTTGAGTTACTGTCCATTACTGATGCCCTAATTGACAAGTTGCTCACTCAGAGACCATCATGCATCATGCACTCACTCTACAGTAACAACCATATCCAATGGTCATTCTACTTCAACTGGGGAAAACATTTACATTTGCATTTCTGATTTCCATATTTTTTACTTTTTTTAATTTATGGAAATTCAGTCAAATATTCCTTGGTTGCATTACTGTACACCTAAACACCACAATTATTGGAAAAGTTTCATTAAAAAATGAACTACAATAACAAGAAACTTTTGCAATCGGGCATAAGTTCTCTTATTTTAATCACAATTACAATATATTACTGAATTTGATGTTTATGAAACTTAATATTATTAATCAAATTCAAATAATTTGAATCGTATAGTACTTCCATTAACTTAGTGTTCAACTTCCGTAATTTGTTCTCATTTAAAAATACAGTACAGTATATATGTTTCAAGTTCATTTCAGTCACATATTTGTTTTAACAAAGCAAAATCAACTTTTAGAACTTGTACAAGGACGGGTTTTTGTAAATATACACAATGGAGCCTTAAAAATTTGCATCATATCGTTTCAGATTCCAAAATATGACTGTGCTATTTGCACTGCCTAGCCCATTGGCTGACATTTAACTAATCAGTTATTTTACCTATTCATTAGTGAGTCTGACCAGACACCAAACCAGCTTCCCCACCCATGAATGGCTTATCTAGTTTGCCAACTGGCCAAAGACTGAGTTGCCATTGCACGACCGACAACTCAATCTTTTTTTTTTGTGCTTGCCCCGCAGAGGATAAAGCTCTTTCCCTCTTTACTGTTATATCTGTGAATATATATATTACATCCTGCCACTATGGTGTCTGGAAATGCAGGGAATCTGCTGTTCAGGACTTCAAAAAGCAGAGAAGCAAAGAGAAAACTTGGGATGAATTTTGAACAAAAAGTTCAGCTTAAAAAGGGAACTGAATCTGGAATTTTTGAAGAGTCGTCTGTGCCAGATAGAGAGTTCGTAACACCACTCTTCATGATATTTTGCAAATATCATAAAGCTATTGACACAGCTCGAGTGCATGGGGGAGTTGTGTAAAACCCTGGTTTGTCTCTCGGAGTGGCTGCAGAATCCAGTAAGTTCAGTAAAACTTCGGTTTCAACTCTTTTGATCACATCGTGGCTCAGTTGATTAAGGCAGCATCTGGGATGCTCTCGGACGCAGGTTCGAATCCTCGTCACGGCCCTTGTGGATTTGTTTATTAATGCATCACCCTTGTGTGATTTCTGTGTGTAATGAAGTAAGGGCGAAGAGCGAGAATGGCCTATTGTCACAGCTCGAATGCATGGGGGAGTTGTGTAAATCCCTGGTTTGTGTCTCGGAGAGGCTGAAGGATCCAGTAAGTTCAGTAGAACTTCGGTTTCAACTCTTTATTTGTACCATAATCTGTTCACAATAGCACACTCGTTACCCACCCCAACACCACAGGCATCTATCAACCACAGGGACCACCTCTCCCACTGTTATCTGGAGCATACCTGGAGGGGGTTTCGGGAATTATTCTACCCCCATGAGTTTGACCCGAGGCCAGGCTCGAGATTCAGGCTCTTCCATTTTTAGGTTCTAATCAAACATAACTCTTCCAAGCTATACTCTTCATTATGTAGATGCAGACTACTTCTCCATTAAATGTATCTCACCTTATTCCTCCTTCCTACAGAATTGTTATGGCAATCCAATCATCTATCAAGCCCAAAATGTCTCAACGAGGTTTTCTTTCATATACATTTTGACAAACTTCTCCCAATTTTATTATGGCTTATCGTCTTGTAAAAGTGTAAAGCCGTTAACGTTCAATCACAAATTGAATTCTATAATCACATATAATAGTGAATATAGAATCACTAATCACAAATTTCACATCTTAATTTAAAAATATCTTCTTCATTCCCAGTACAAGCTTTTACATATATACTGTAGTAAGATTGTCTAAATTTTAAAGTCTTTTTAAGATCCACACTCCCTTTGTACACAATATCCAAGAGCTTTGCTAACTCAGTGCTGAATCAGGGTTGATTCAACACTGAATTAGCATTGATTATGTTGATTCAACATTGCCAATACCCTCTTGGAACATCTGTTTATTTTATCCTGTACAGTATTGGATTTGTTCTATCTTCCCACAGACTTAAAGATTACTCATCCCAAGCATGTTATAAGGCCTCAAAAGGCCATTATCATTATTTTTTATCAAACTTTACTCTGTACCAATGCTAGGTTTGCCACCCATTTCTCTCTCCTTGAAAAACCACCATCTAATTCTTGTGTAGCATTTTCCTTTGGGATTTTACCAATGGTATTACTGATAATAATAATAATATATGGCTATTTAGTGCTCTGCCATGAACTAAACTGTCATCCACTGAAAATATAGTGACCATGGATAAAAAAATTTGCACACTACTACAGATAAATTTCTTTACTCCTTTTACATCTAATATTTAACTACTCTGTCCATCCATATATCATAAGTGTTTATGTATATACATATGTGTATGCAAGAGCACATAAGTACCTAAGTATAGTTACAGGATGAGAGCTACGTTCATGGTGTCCCGTCTTCCCATACCTGGAGATCTTTGATCATACCCTAATCTTTGTTATATGCTGCTTTGTAATTATCAAGGGTTCTAGCATCCATCGTCCTGCTGAACTCATTCCAACCATCTACAACTTTGAAGTTGCAGGTTTGAAAAAATCTTCATCTATCTTGTTGATTTCTGTTACTATTTTGTATGAAGTTATCATATCACCTCTTTTCCTCCTATCTTCTAGCCTTGGCATATTTAATGTCTCAAGCCTCTCCTCATAGCTCATATTCTTTAGGTCTGGAAGCCATTTAGTAGCATGTCTTTGCACCATTTCTAGTGCCTTCATGTGTTTTTTGAGGCAAGTGCACACCACCATCACCACTACTGTATATTTGAAAATCTTTCTTTAATATTTCTTCATACGTACATATATTTAAAACAAGGTTCCGAGATGTGCTAGCGTAGAGTAGGCTCCACTCCTAATGCCTTTTTACATGGTCTTTGGTGACTGCTTATTGTACAGAACCACTCCTAGATCTCTGTCCTTGTCAGAGATTTTTAGTATCTTTTCACATAATTTGTAGGACAAGTGAGGCATGTTCTCTACTATTCCACATTTCATTAAACAACATTTATGAAGAATTCCATCTGCTGTGTGATACTCACTTATTTTGCCTAGATCATTTTGGAGGGCAATACAGTCATCAAAGTTCCTGATGGTGCTCCCCC